CTTGACAGATTCTGGTAACATTAACCGCCGCTATAAAGACTATTTCTCTGTATCCGAGGCTCCTTTCATTGATAAAAGCGCAAACACACCACTTACCGTTTACTCTCGCTATTAGCCCGGTTAGATGACCGTTCAGTTATCTTAGCTGCTATCAGAACTTATACGAGTAGACAGCTAACTATCTTAGGTTATCGTTAGGTTTCTTAAATAGCTGTTAATGCTAACTTCCAGTTAAAGCTTAACAGACAAACAGTGTAACAGAAGAAGGTTAAACTTGTAAGACCTGTCATGCTCTGAACATTTTTTATGTGTAGCATAATTTTAGCAACAGAAGCGGATGCACTTTTGTTTCTGGCAAGTAGCATTATCGCCACCTAGTGGTATGGAGTGTGAATGCCAATAGTGGTATTTGGAGCATTCAAAAATTAAAACAGTCAAACGCAAACAATTGAGTCCAAGATGCTGCAATATAACTTCTTAACGGTGAAGGTATGGGTTTTATTACATACTTGATATCTATATATTATTTTCTAAAATCCAGTCTTTGTAAAATGACTAATCAGCTGTTGGGTTTCCAGTTGTCCGTGTATATGTCCACAACGGAGCCTAATCAAAGCACATGAAACACTCTGATGACAGACTTTTCCAGCTTTCCTGCTGAGCTTTATCTGCAGTGGATTGCTCATTTTATTCCTATATCTGTTAATCTTTTTACAGGGAACATGGCGACCCAGTTCATTTACTGTATTATTGTGGGGTCTTTATCTCAGAACATAAAGCACCTAGAGGCAAATTGAATTGAATTAAATTAAGATCAGCAGCATACTTTTGAGACTGAGAGTCGTTAAATATGTGAAAATGAACCAGCTCTGTAATGTGTTTGACATCATCATACAGGCCACCAAAACTAGTTACAGCATGAGTGCAAAAACTGAAAAAGATGTTGACATTATTTCTAAACCAGAGGTTTAGTGCTTACAAAGCAAGAACTACAGATCGTATTATTGCAGTAAGGGAATGAAATTTATCTGGCTTTATTTGAAAAAAAAAAAAACTACTTTAGTTACTATATAGTTCTAAACAAACACTCACACTATGTGTTTGCCAATTGCACAGAGTCTGTTTCTTAAGAAAAAAAGAAACACTTTTAAACTATTTATGTTCATGCAGTCTACATCTAAGTTCTGACTCATTTGTTGCAGGGTGAACTCGTCAGAGTGTTATGTATCACTTAAGTATCACTTCTCTGTTCCAGATGTCAGCATCATACACTCTGGGATTGAATTAGTTAGGTCTGAAGTCACTTAGTTCTATGACATAAAGAACTATTTTCTGTCAAGATTTTTTTATAAATACTTGATAAAGAGATAGTGGAAAATACTTCTTAACAAAAAAATTATCTTGTTAGAAAGTCTAACAAAAAGATCTAGACAACACTGAAGAGTTACTGTAAGTGTAACATAGTTTATAAAGGTTCAAGTTAATCCCGCTAAATGGGACAATAGCACCACCTACTGTCACAAATGTCACCCTACATTGACTAAGAAGGGCAAAGAATTGTGGGTAATCCTCAGAGTAATGGAGGATTCACACTGGTTGTCCATGAAAATTAACCATTCTATGTTGTTGCCTTATAAAAGGGGTTGTTGCTACAAAAGAAATTTAAAAACTGGATTATAGATGGCAGACAGTTGGTGTCATAAGCCCCGCCCTCTGATCAAAGATGGTCGCCCACAGTGGACATAGATGCTTCTTTCACTCCTCTTTCAAACTATCTGTCCTCTCTGTCCAAAATGTGAACACTGGCATCATCGAAAGAGTGACCTTTGACCTTTAGATGCAGATGGACTGCTGAGTCTTGTCCTGTGGAGGTGGCTCTTCTGTGTTGTGCCATGCGCTTGTTTGATCTCTCCAATGTAGAGGTCTGAGCATTCCTCGCTGCACTGTACAGCAAACACCACATTGTTAAGTCTGTGTTTTGGAGTTTTGTCTTTGGGATGAACCAGTTTGTGTCTGAGTGTGTTGCTGGGTCTGAAGTATACCGGGATGGAGAAAACTCTCCTGAGTTTTTCTGAACACCGGCTACATAGGGGATGACAATGTTGTTGCGTCTGTCTTTCTTATCCTCCCTCGCTGGTGTCTGATCTTCTTTTCTGTGCCTCTTTGCTGACTTGATGAAAGCCCAATTAAGATAACCGTTAAGATAAGCGTTTCCTTTACATGTGTGTGTTCCTTCTTTTTTCCTTCAGGCTTAGAGGGAACATTTTCTGCCCAGTGATGTAAGGTGGTGGGAGTAAAAGAGGTGGTACTGGTCCATGTGTGTGGGCATCTGGTAAACTTCAGTGTTGACGTTTCCATTCTCCTCAATGTGCACAGCACAGTCCAGGAATAGCAAACAGTCATCCTTTGTGTCTTCCGTGGTGAACTTTGTTTTGATCCACAGCATTGATGTGAGCAGTGAGGGATTCTACTTCTTGTGTTTTGATTTTGACCCAGGTGTCGTCCACATATCTGTACCAGTGGCTGGGTACTCTCCCTTTGAAAGAGCCAAGAGCCATTCTTTCCACTTCCTCCAATGGCATGTCCTTTCTTGGCCTTGTTGGTGATAGAATGAGGAGTGTTCCCCACAAGGGTCGCTAGGATGGTGGCAAGGTGTTTGGAAATGTTGTAGGTGGCTGAGTTTATACTGCTATCAATGGGTCTGAGTGGGACTGTGGATCTTTGGAAGATTTTAAATACAGCGTATAGATGATGGTATGTTGAGCAGTAAATGACTTTATCCTTTTTAAGTTCTTGTAGGCAACTGATAACTTTCTTTTTGTAGTTCCTTGTGTGGTCTTGTTTTGAGGCTTCATATGTTTTGTTGTCACTGAGGAGTGTAGTAATTTTTGTGCGATAATCCATTGTGTTTAGAACAACAGTGCACCTTCCCTCGTCAGATGGTGATATGGTGATGTTATAGTCTTTGCTCAGGGATGTAACGGCCTTCTTTTCTTTATTGTGATGTTAGACGGGGGAACTTCAAGAAACTTAAAGAAGTCCAGACGCTTTTCTTTCCAAGCTCAGACTACAGTGACCTGGATGACTGAGAACCTTCACAGATGCTGAAGAGTTACCTCAACAGTATGTTGGTCTAATAGTCACAGTTTTGGTTCGGCTTTCAAAATTCTAGGACTAGAAATTTTTTTAAAATGCCACCCGATGATTGTACAGTGTTAAAATATTTGTTGGGAGGTTCCATTTGGTTGTTAGGACATTAGGATTAATCTTTTATCACAAAAGTGCTTCTGCTCCTAAGAAAATAGGTGGATGGGTGGACAGATGGGTATTAAAATATAGGCAAAAAAAATCATAGGTAAGTCTTGAGGACTAAGGGACATGGTTAACTGTCAACAGGGGGATTAAAAATATTAATGAAAAATGAATACATGATATATTAGCAAAACAGCTGGTTGAACTTTGCACATTTGGTCAGATTTCAAAGAGAAGTGGTGGTGGTTGAGCCTGCAACTGATCCACATGTATTTATTTAAAGATTGGATTTGACATTCCTCTACATCATCAATGCTTTCTGTGTCAAAGGTGTTATTGAAAACTCTTCCACACTGCAGGAGAAAACTTATCTGTTATAATGACACAGGCATGTCTGTTTTGCCCTGTTTCCACATAAAGTGCGTCTCCCAACTGATTAGTTAAAAGCACAACCAGTGTTAGCTTATCCAGCTAATCTCCCATCATTCTCTCATCAAAAGAGTGGAGGTTTATCCACATTCCACAGGCTGGAAGCTTTATGACAGAACACTGTTTGATATGAAAAGAGAGATCGCTTTCACTTTGGTACAGTTTAAATTAGATATGAAAAGTAGACACCTATTAATGCTAATTTACACCATGGAGCCCCACTGTAAAACAAAACTGTCATAGATTTAACACTGTTATGAAGCTGGATTTAAGAAGTGTTTAAAGTTTTTAGACACAACTTTGTTCCAGTACAGAATGTGGAACTCTCTAGACTGACTGGTTGGTGGTTGCAGTTAATAGACTTACATTAGTCTATGTTAGCCAGCTAGTGACAGAACTAGTAACTCAGTGAATATGGAAACTAAAACTAAAGAGCAGAACATTTTAAAATACCTTAAATGATACCATGAAAGATCAAATGGCAACCTGTGATGAACCTAAAAGCTTGGAGGAAATTATAACTTTGGCCATTTTGGCCAATACATAGGGAAAGACACTACAAGTCCCGACCAACTTCCAGTTATAGCCCCATTTCTGCTTCCAGTGGTTGATTCTTCTCATCTTTTTGTTGTTGTTGTTTTTTTACAGTCCCCCAGCTGCTAACACAGAAGATCCAAAGCAGCTGGGGAGAGCTACATTAAAATCAGAGGAACTGATTATATTTGCGTATATTGTAGTTAGCCAAGGCATTTTATCACCACCAGCCTGCATCCCAATAATTAAAGATGGGGAAACTGGCAGGCAGGGTCAAAACTTCCCCACATTCAACGTTCTGTCAACATAGGGCATGATAATTTGAGGCCTGAACAAAACTGTTTGGACAAACAACTAATTCACCAGCTTAGAATTGCCCTCGAACCTCTGGATTTACCCATGGTTGTCACAGCACATAATGGTCAATATTTTACCACCAGAACTCACCAGAGAGTGCCAGCTCAGCTGATTCCTTCACCTAACCACTATAAAGTGATCAGATTCTTTGTGTTCTTTGTTCTACCCACAATCCCAATTTTCTGTGGCTCTCATGGTTAGAAAAATCCTCACATAAACTGAGCAAAAAGTCACAATTACAGATGGAGTCACTTCTGTTTCTCACATTGCGTGCAGCCTACCTCGCCACCTACTCAGTGTGCTGTTGAGCCACATGTCATATAACTCAGACACTTGCCCCTGAATAACAGGTTAATTCCTGCAAATAGAAACCTAAATGTGTTAAACGATGTGTTTTAATGTGACGAATAACCACAGCAGAAACATACTGTAGTGCTGATAATCATGCTTTATTAAAGAAATAACTGGAGGAAAGACTCAAGGAGGGTGCGAAAATAGTCAAAACTACAACTCAAACTTCAATCAAACCCTTAAACTGCAGGGCGACATGTGGGACTTGTTGTTGAACGCAGCAGTAGGTGGTTTCATACATCTGCTTTGCCGCACCCACCTTGACTGACAGGTGAACTTCTAAAAACTAGCACACAAACACACTGCATACCTCCGAGAGACAGCTCTGTTTCTGCAAACAAGCACAGGAGGGACTCTTATTTAAAGTGATTGGCCAGGTTGGTGGTACAAGTGAAAAGTCTCATCAGTGGTTGTTTGCCAGATGCAGAGCACAAAATATAAAAGAAACACTTGTGCTCAGGGAGTGCAGGCCGCTTGCACTCTGAGCACGTCAGTGAAATAGCAGTACGACAGAATCAGTCGGAGTGCGAGGTCCAGTCATCCTGCTTACATGAGGGTAAATGCAAACAGCATTCAGGATCTCACACTGCTTTCACAATGCTAATGCACTGCTCTCTAAAGCAGTGTATTCATAGTTTTGTCTCTGATTGAGTTAACATCAACAGGGAGCCTCTCTACCTGTTGAGGCAATCTTAAGACTTCAACTTATCGTTGAGGCACAAAGTTTAGTTTCTTAATTTAACAGAGTATTCGTTCCTGTTGGAACTTTCTCCTGTTAAACCATATACAGTTTCATTTTGTTTTAGTTAATATTATTGTCATAAATAACAATGCATACACTTCCCATAACCGGTAAATTCGGCTATATACATTATGTACATGTCACAGAATAATGGATCAAAAATCCTAAGTCACAGTTATCCAATATGGTACATTTTATAACACCTTTAGACTTTAGTCTAGTTTGGCAAAAATTAATGTCAAGATAGTTACAAAAATAGTTCATATTTACAAGAACAGAAATCCAGATCTTTATCAAGTAGATTCTTTTGCTTGATTAAATAAAAACGCATGAGAAAAGGAAAAAGGGGAAGTTTTGAAGAGTTGTTTTTTTTCCTTACACCGATCGAATACTAATGTGAACAGTTGCTGTATCAGATCCTAGCTCATTTGACAGTTTGAGGGTGTAGCTTCCAGCATCCTCCTTCTTCACCCCAGTGATAATGAGCGTGGTCAAGTCCTCAGTGGTCTCAATATGGAAGCGTCCGGCAGCAGTCAACTCAATCCTTTTGCCGTCGTGCGACCACTCAATGTGTCTGGCATCACCAGAGAAGGCACAGGCGACTGTCAGGACTTTGCCAGGCTCAATGCTGATGTCCTCTGGCAGAGCTTCAATCCTTGGAGCAGAACCTGGAACCCATGATATATGCACAGAACAAGAACCTTTTTTTCATTTAGAGTAAGGCAGGCACACAATTTCACAACAGACACAAACAAAAAAATGTTATGACAAAAAAGCATGTTTTGCTAATTGAGCTTAATTCAGCATCTTTATGAGGTTTCATTTCAAAAGAAGGATAATTGTGTTGCTGGTGGATGCAAGGAAGCTAAGTACAGTTTTACAGATTACCAAGAGTCTTATGATCTTACCAAGAGCTCTAAGTGATCCCTCCATGTGGGAGGCCATCTCCATGAGGCTACTGGAGCTCATGGCATATGCCTCAGATGACACGGAGGACATGCTGGACATGGACATGGTCTCAAACTTCATTTCAGCTGCCATGCTGCTGAAGGAGCGGGAATCCGTCATGGATGACATCACTGCCTGCTGGGAAGTAGAAGAAAAGGCAGACGACTCCTCCATTGTATGGATTTCTTTCTTCATCATCACCGATGAACTCAAGGATGACGATGACTCCTTTTGACTCATCAATACTGATCCTGGCAGAAGAAACGATAACACACATGTCATTGTTAAGAATGACTTCAATGTTAGGGCTCTGTTATAATTTCTTTAAAGCATGAAACTGGATCAGATTTTCTGGATGGTGATAGAAAAAGCCTACCTTGAAGTCCCAGCTGCTGTTCACAATAAGCTGTAATCTTCTTGCGAATTGACTGAAACACTTGTCCAGTGAAGTTGAAAGAAGACTTGGATACTCCTCCTTCTGATTTCATCTCACAGATGTACTCTCCCTGATCACTGTCTGTTAAATTATGGATCAAAAGGCTGCAAGAACCCTCAGAATAGTGCATCTCTAGGCGACTGCTTTGTGAAAGCCTCCTCCCATTCACATACCATACCACCTCTCTGACGGAGCTCTCACAAACACAGGACATCCTCACTGACCCCTCACAGGCTTCTGCTGTTAGCTGACTCATGACCTTGGGGGGTTTGGGGATTGGGGATTTTACGGTGGGTGGAGATACAACTCTCTTGGGGGACATGGTGGGAGGAGGAGACTTCATTCTAGGAGGTGATTTGATCCCTTCAGGTTCAGGGGACTTCAGTGCCCTTGGTGATTTGATGCCTGCTGGTTCTGGGGACTTGATGCCTTTTGGTGTTTTGAGTCCAGGAGGTTCTGGGGACTTGACACCTCTTGGCATTTTGATTCCTGTAGGTTCTGGAGATTTGATACCCCGGGGTGATTTTACTTCCTCAGATTCCAGTGACTTTCCAGTCCCCAGGGTCTTAGTTGGCGGTGGTGACTTGAGTCGTGGCTCAGGAGATTTTAGACCTCGTGGTGACTTAGGTCCCTCAGGCTCAGGAGATTTGACACCTGGAGTCGGTGATTTTAAGCTCGGTGCAGGAGAAGGTGCAGTTGGTTCAGGAGACTTTATGCTCTTAGGAGACTTAATCCCCTCGGGTTCAGGAGACTTCACACTTGGTGTTGGGGACTTCACACTTGGAGCAGGAGATGTTGCACTTGGTTCAGGAGATTTTATACTTGAAGCTGGTGATGTAACTGAAGGCTCGATGGATTTGGTGCTAGGTTCTGGTGACTTCACACTGGGAACAGCAGAGGTTGTGGAGGGAATAGGGGATGTGGCTGAAGGTGCAGGTGACTTTACACTGGGAGTGGGTGACTTCACGGATGGCTCAGGGGGTTTGATTATTTTAACTTCCTGCTTGGGGGTTGCTCTATGGATGGTTAAAGTAAAATGAGCTTCCTGTCTGCCTTCTGAATTCTCTACCACTACTGTGTAACTGCCCTCATGGGAGGCTGTCACAGAGGAGATTTCCAAACTGGATTTATACTGAGTTGTGGTGACCTGAATGTGGTGGGATGAGACAATGGTTCTGTTCTCATGTATCCATGTCACAGTGGGTGCAGGCTCACCATCAATATCACAGGTAAATCTGACAGTCTCTCCCTCCTCAACTGTCACAGACTGAGGCTTAGTGAGGATTCTAGCTGGAAGAGAAAGTTTTGCCTTCTGGACAGAAACTTCCTCATCACCAGCAGTGGTAGATGATTTCAGTTTAGCTTCAGATATGGTGTGTTTCCCACTCAGAGAAAATTTGTCAGATGAATAAGAGGAACTAGATGACAGGTATTCAGCAGAAGCATACTTGATAGATGAGTCATACCTCTCAGCAGAGGAGTACCTTTCAGAGGAGGCGCCATATCTCTCATGTGTGAATACCTCATGTGTTTCGGTTAACTTAGATTTGGTTTCTTCTACCTCAAAGTGGGTCTGTGAAGCATAGCCAGCTTTGAAGTGGGAGATGTGGTAGTGGTCTGTTCGAGTGACTTCAGGGACATGTGCTTTGGGAGCTTCCTCATCCTTGCGGCGAGAAGAGAAAGTTGTGTAGCTACCACCTGACACCTCCAGGGTAGCATAGTCTGAAGCCTCTCCCTTAGAGTTGGAACATACACAGCGATACGTGCCACTATCCTCTTCCTGACAGTCCAGAATAGTGATGGTCAAGACACCAGTCATGTTGGTAAAGATGAATTTCTCACTGGATTCAGAGATCGCCGTTCCATTGTGGAACCACGTGACCTCAGCCTCTGGTTTAGCTTGTACATTTAGGGTGAATTTTGTATCTTGACCAACTGGGATACGATGAGAACGCATCCTAACAGTGACACGCGGGGCATGGTCCAAACTGAAAGGTGTCTGACTGACCAACTGATACTTCCTTTCAGATTTCAGAGCAGCCTTTCTGGCCTCGTAACGGGACATGATATCAAAACGGGCAGACCGCTCAAACCTCGAAGAGGAGCGTGAAGACCTTTCAACTGACTTGATGGGGCTGGGGGAACGTGGTCGGGTCCTCTCTGGGGTAGGGGACCTCCTCCCCACAATCTCTCCCTCTACTTCCACAGGATGCCTAGCATGTGGTTGTCTTATCAGTTCTGAAACTGGACGCATTAGCTCAATGTAAGTGGGTGACAGTGACCTTCTCCTCCTCATATACTGAGAGATGGTACGTTTCTTCTTTGTCTCAGCAACCTCAACGGTTTCATGTCTACCTTCCTGCCTTCTTTCCTCATGCTCCATGGCACGTCGCTCAATGCGTACAGGGCTGCCAGCAGGTGAGGCAGAAAAGCCAAGCTCCAGTTCATCCTCCAACATCATTCCTTCTTCTTCCTCTGTTCTCATCAGCTCCTCATCGCTAAGGTCTCCCAGAGATCTCCTCCTAGATCTGAACAACGCCTCTGACACAGGACTGGGAGAGCGGCGTGCAGGTCTGACAGTCTCCAGATCATCTAGAGTGAGTTTTGGAATACGCCATCTTGGCCTATACTGGTCAGTGATTCTAGGAAGGGGCATGACGTAGAACTGTTCCCATCTGGACAAACGAATACGTTTCTGTCTCTTCTGCACAATCCTCTCCATCCTCTCTGAAATCTCATATTGATCTTTTAGCTTTCTGTACCACTTCATATCTGACAGAGGTACAAACAGTTTGATACCTTTGTTCTCATCAAGAACTCTGGGATCATGAACCACAGGCTCAGGAATTTCATAGGGCATGAAGATCCTCCTCTCCTCCTCCAACTTCTTGGTCTCTGACTTCTCCTCTTTGATGTCAAACTCACCCTCGACATTCTTTGTGCTCACTGCTGGCTTGTAAATCTCTGCAGCATATTTGAGAGCTTCTTGAGCAGTGGGATTAAGCGGTACAAGCTCCTCAGTAGCAACGATTTTCTGAGCCATCTTGTTGGTCTTTTCAATTTGTTTCTGTATGTGCATGTATTTCTCTTCCTCACTCCTATATTCTCTCCTTGTATAGGTAAGGCGGTCCACCTTCAATGTTGCCTGACAGCTGGCGGTGCCAGCAGAGTTGGTTGCAGTAACTTTGTAAACACCAGAGTCCTCAAGTAGAGTCTCTCTAATGTGAAGGACATGAGAGTCAACGTCCTCCTGTATGACAACCACCTTGGGACCAAACTGTAGTGGATGACCATCCTTTTGCCATTTAAGAGTAGGAGGTGGTACACCTGAGACTCTGAGCTCAAAATGGACACTCTGTCCCTCCATGCACTCAACATTAGCCAGCAGGCGTTTGAACATGGGCTTCATAGTTTCTTCTGTCACAGGATGTGGTGCCACAGTGAGACGGGCCTTGCAGCTGTCTTCTCCAAACTTGTTGTGGGCCATAACGGTGTATTCAGCATCATCAGTCATGTCCAGGTTATGGATCATGAGCTGGTATAGACCCTTATCACTGGTGAACGTGTACTTGCTGTCATTATCACCTGGCTTGATTTTTTCACCATTCTTAAGCCAAATTATGCAAGGCTCTGGATGCACAGTAACAGTAACACCAAAACGCACATCTTCGCCAATGAAAGAGGTGCGGTTGTAGAGAGGCAAAGTGAACTCTGGTGGTCTCTGCAGAAGCTTAGTCTTGTCAACTCTCCTCCTTAATTTCTTGATGGAGCGGCTAAGATAGTACTCTTTGATACTCCTCACTGTCTCGACAAAAAGCTCTCCATAAGCACTGTCTTCTCCATCATCACTCAGCACTTTGCATCTGTACACACCATCATCACTTTCTTCAATGTCCTTTACGTAGATACTGGCAAAGCCATTACTATAAGTAATCTCATACTTGTGGCTTGTGTGTAGCTGGCAGTTACCAAAGTACCATGACACCTGTGTACTCTTGTCATGCTTGGCAATGCTGCAAGTGAATCTTGCATAACCACCTTCTTCAGCTGAGGCATGCATGACTGGGCCAGCACGGAAGCCATGGCACTCAGTTCCAATCTTCACTTTACCAACAGCCAATCCCCTCTGGTTCTTGAAAGCACCACCATAGGCCACACGAGCTGCTGATACAATAGTATCAACCCTCTTTACCAGAGTCTGATAGTACCTTCTGTGTCTCAGTGTCCTGATAGCCTTGTTGCTAATATGCTCTATTTTCATCTTGAGCCATGGGTGCTCCAGAGCCTCATGGGCTGTCATACGAAGCTTCCTGTCCTTGACAAGAAGTCTGTCCACAAAGTCCATAGCCTCCAGGCTGATATCCTTAAATGCTTCACTGTCGAAGACATACTCACAGTTGGTGATATTCTCAATCATCTTTGTGGTAGACTCTGCTGCAAATGGATTAAGGCCACTGAGTAGAACATAGGCCATAACACCAACAGACCACATATCTGTGGCCGTTGTGACCAAATCATGGCGGTGGACCTCTGGGGCGCAGTACTCCGGTGCTGAAAAGAGCATTCTGATGTTTTCTCCCGGCACCAGAAGCCTAGCCTGGCCCATCTCAATGATCTTTATGTTGGTACTTTTCCTTGTAGTGTACACAATGTTGTCTGGGCGGATATCAAAGTGGCCAAAGTTGTGGGAATGCAGGAACTTGAGAGCAGAGCAGACTTGTCTAAGGTACTTGACAATCTCCTGCTCTGTAAGCTCAAAGTTGCTGGTGCCAAGCCGCTCAAAGATGTCAACTCCAGAAATGAATTCAAAGATAAGGATGATCTCCTCCATGCTTTCAAAGTATTCATGCAAGTAGATGATATTCTTATGCCTTCCCACATTAAGAGCTTCAATTTCCCTCAAAACCAACTCACGATCAGTTCCTTTGACTTTGATAAACTTGGCCATGTAGGTTTTCTTTGTGGCAATCTCAATACAACGGTGAACCACACCAAACTGGCAGTGAGCAAGCTCCTCAGAGATAATGTACTTTGAGGACAGCTCCTTCACCTTGTAGAAAAGAGCCTCCTCTTTAGTAATTTCTCTTGTTTCGTCCACTTCCTCATCATAGTTCCTAATTACAGACTTGTCTTCCTTTGTGGTGATAGGCTCAGTTGGTTCAGATGGTGGGCTCAGACCAAACTGGTTCTCGGCAATAACACGGAACTGGTATTTGGCCTTTCCAAATATGTTGATGATAGTGATACTACAGTCAGTCGTTTGTCCAGCACGAATCCACCTATCACTGGTGGTGGGGCACTTCTCCACAATGTAGTTAATAATGTTGCTTCCACCATCACTGACAGGGGGCTCCCAGACAAGAGTGATAGAATCCCTTGCAATTTCACTAACCACAAGGCCTTTTGGAGCTTCAGGAATGTCGGCCACATTCACCTCGATGGTTTGCTTGTCCATTCCAAACCTGTTCTTTGCAGTAATAATGTAGTAGCCAGTATCTTTCCTCTGGACTCCCTTCTGGAATACCAGGGATGTGAAAGACCTTGTGGTGATGACTTGGTGATAAGGAGAGTTGGAGAGGATCTCCTGACCTTTCTGCCAAGTGATTGTTGGCTCAGGTTTGCCAGAGATGGGGATCTTGATGGTGATGTGATCACCACGGACAGCATGGACTGCGCCCATTCCTTGGAGCTCTTGAGGCAGATAGATCTTAGCAGGAACTACAATAAAAATGACCAAAATCATGACTTATTCTCATGAATGTGGGCTTTTTTAAAATCAGGAATTGGAAAGAAGATATCATGCATTTAGTACATTCTAGAAAATATTTGGAAATTATGATATTACCTTCCACCTCCAAGTTGGCTGTGGTAGAGATGGATCCTGAGGAATTAGTTGCTCTGACTTGGTAAACTGTGGCATCATTCTCATCAGCAGAAGTGATGACAAGCTGATAGTAGCCTCCCTTGAACTCCAGCGCTTTGATCTTAGTTCCATCTGCCAGGATCTCCTTTCCACTACGGTACCATTTCACAACAGGCTTTGGATAGCCCAACACCTTGTTGGAGGAAAAAGAGACAAAATAAATAACTGGTGTCCACTGAACAATGATGTTATGATTGTATTTTTGACTTAAAAACTGAGAGATTTTAAAGGAATAAGCAATGTAGTTTTAAAAAAAGGTACCTTAGTGACAAATGTTGCACTGGCATGGTATTTGACAGTCATGTCTCTGATCTCCTCCCTGAATGTGGGAGTGCGAGGAGGCTGGTCAGACTTGGGGATGATGGGTTCAGAAATCTCACTCCATTCGCTCTCACCGCCCATGTTCTCACATTTGACACGGAACTCATACTCGAAGCCTTCAATCAAGCCTGTGACCTCATAGTTGGTCTCTGCAATCTTCTTGGTAGTTACTGACATCCACTTGTTCTGTTTCTTCTCACGTTTCTCCAGGTAGTAGTTTGTGATTTTAGCTCCACCATCGCTGCTTGGAGGCTTCCAACAGACAACACAAGAGTCTTTTGTGGAGCTGATAATGAAAGGCTGCTGTGGGATGCCAGGTTTTTCTGAAAAACAAATAGGAAAGTTACTATAGTGCAGAAGTCCCATATTCTATGCAGTGGCAGATCTTGAAAACTAAATACGCTCCTTACAAAATGAACACATTTAAGTTTCTAGATGGTACTCTATAACTTATGCAAATAGGAGACGGTCGAGTAGAAGCTGTGGTTGATTTGAGACAGAATAAGCCATCTGTGAAGAGGACACCAAAATAAAATATAAATAAACTTACCAAATGGACTCTTGATTATAACCACTGATGGGATCTCTAGAGGCTCGCTGACTCCATATTGATTCTGAGCTGAAACCCTGAAGTAGTAGCCAGCATTCTCCGTCAGATTGAGGACACGGCAGGTGGTTCCAGACAAAGAGGAGGACACCAGGTACCACTGTTCCCCTTCTTTGGCCTCCCGTTTCTCCACAATGTAGTTGGTAATCATTGATCCTCCATCATCCTTGGGAGCCTTCCAGCTGATGACAACTGAGCTCTTAAGCAGGGCTTCAACAATTAGGGGCCCCTCAGGCATGCATGGCTTGTCTAGAAACACACACACACGCGCATATATATATGAAAGATTTGTAGACTGAAACTGAAAACTCATGCAAAGGGCTTTCATTTGTAACTTTGATTTTAAATTTATGGATAGATGGATGGATGGATGTGGAGCCCTTAAGCAATTTGTTTATAGTTTGATCTCACCTTGGATTTCTACACGAAGCACAGTGTCAATAGTTCCAAAGAAATTGCTGAGCTGCACCTTATAGCGACCAGCGTTGGTCTTTCTCTGAACATTCCTCACCACGAGGTGGGTGTAGCTCTCTGTGTTTTCAATGATCACATTTTCAGATGGATTCAGAGGCTTCTTGCCATAGAACCACATGATCTGTGGGATGGGACGGCCAATGTATATGACATGAAGGCGGAGACTGGTGCCAGCCCCAGCAAAGTATTTTTCCTTCAGGGGAAAGCCAGGGTGAAACTGGGGAGCTGCCTGTAAACGCAGTTTACCACTGCTCTCGATCTCTCCAGCCTCATTGATTGCCCTACAGGTGTACAGGCCCTCATCTTCCTGTTCATCTGTTAGAATGCTGAGGGAGTGGTTTCGACCATCTGAGCTCATTTTGTACTTGCGGCTCTGGATCAGTTCCTTGCCAAAGCGGTACCACTTAATCTCAGGCAGAGGTCTGCCAATAATGCCACAGGTCAGAGTGCCAGACTCGCCAAGTTTAGTTGTTACATCTTGGATGTCTTCTGTCAAAGCTGGAGCCTCACCAACTGCAGAAAGACAGCAATGTTTAATCACACTAAATGTATTTAATTTTTACTTTTTGTTGTAAATTGAAAGGAATTACAAATAAATTGGTTGTCTTTCCCTTTAAACATTAGATTTTACACGATTTTGACTTTAACATTAAATCTTGGTCAAAATTTGGTTCTAAGATATATTTTTCTGTTGTCAGTTAAACAACATTTGTATTGAACTTGCCAGATATGTTATACATTGAATGTCAAATTCTACTGCAACGAGGTCATTTGTTTTGATAGACCTCAATCCTGCAACAGCTTACCACTCAATTTGGTCTTGATGCCCATAGGTGTGCGACGAGGTCGGCTGAGTCCAGTCTCGTTCTCAGCAAAGACTCTAAACTCATACTCAGTGGCTTCCATTAAGCCACCCATGGTGAACTGACGATCCTTCGAGCGCTCCTTATTGCATTTTTTCCAGGCACTCTCTCCAGCCTGTCGGAACTCAATCCAGTAACCTAGGATCTCCTTGCCACCATCATGCTCAGGCCTGAGCCAGTGGATGGTGATACAGTCTTTAGTGACAGAGACAATGTCAATCTCTCCTGGTTGGCTAGGTTTGTCTACAGGAAAACAGAAAGGAAAAGGGTCAATAATCTTGGATAAATTCATTCTAACATCAATACATTCTAAAAGTATTTTAGAATGTATTGATCTCATACGTTTCCCTTATCAGCACAGACTGATTTAGATTGATTGCAATGAGTTGGCAATCTGTCTGCATTTATAAATTAGATAGCAGTTATTTGCAAAATTTCATCAGTATCTCTTAAAGTAATTGCAGTCACTCTGAGTTGGACTGTGACTGTTTGGAGGTGGTGTCACCTCCTACCAGGCGACCTGTGCAATCACCTTGCAGTCAAAAGTGGTGACACAGAGGTTGAGGGTGTTACACGTTCAATCTCTGGGTGACTAGTCACCGTTACTACATGCAAATGGTTGACAAATGCCAGTAACTTAAAAATTAACAGTCACTAAGTAAAGGAAGAGTTGCAAGGAGGTTGTTGCCCTATTTGTACTCTAGTGTGACTGAGCCATAACTCACCAAATGGATCTTTGCAGACTACAGATTCAGAAGCAGGACCAGGTTCGCTCTGTCCAATGTCATTTTGTGCGACAACTCTGAACATGTACTCTGCATCAGGGATGAGACCAGTGGCATTGAACATGGTGGTGGTGATGTGGGTCTTATTGTGGCGGACCCACTTCTCTGTTGAAACCTCCCTTCTCTCAACATAATATCCAGTGACACGAGAGCCTCCATCGTCGCGGGGCCTGGCCCAGGAGAGAGAAACTGTGGACTTGGTAACATCCATGATCTCTGGTGGGTTGCTGGGAGGTTCAGGTGGGCCTGTGATAAAGGATGGTTTTACAAATTAAATTATCAGAGTTACAGTATGTTCAGAGTGTATGATTATCACAACAATAGGTTTATTAAATACAAAATTTTCCCAGTTCAACTGAGAAAGTTGGACTAATAACAAATATATCACTACTCACAAAGTGGAGTCTTTGGTGTGACAGACTCTTCAGATTTTAAAGCTCTGCTGACACCAAACTGATTCTCAGCAGCAACCCTGAAGTGGTACTCCACATTCTCCTTTAGGCCCTTCACCACTAGAGAGTTCCCAATTACTCGAGCATCCACTGTATACCAGGCAGCCTTGGGTACCTCCCGCCTTTCCACTATGTATCCCAGGATGTCTGCTCCACCGTCATCTGATGGTGGCCTCCAACTGACTCTTACTGATCGGGCCTGAATGTCGTCAAATTCCAGAGGCCCTTCTGGGACATCTGGGCGACCAATCACTTTCACCTACAGAGAGGAGGTACAGAGAGTTCGTTTTTAAGGCTGCAAATATTATTAGATTTTATACATGTGGCGTGAATAAGGCACGGCGGGACCACGGAGCAACGTTCAGAGCCAACTTTATTTAATTCACGTCACACCACACACCCACCAACCCCTGAGCCCCTGTGTTTTAACACGGCGGGCATGATTGCGGATGCCGTGCAGGTGCGTCTGCACGGCACCGCAAACCACGCCCCACCACAATACAATATATGTTTTCATTTCATTAGCCATTCTTTAATAAAGTCTTTCAGACACGCTCCCCACCTTGATATAAACAGCCTTCCTGCCACATTTGTTTTCCAGCACCAAGTCGTAGGTACCAGTGTCATCTTTATGCGCCTCTTTGATGACCAGCTCAGTGATGTCATCATGCGTAGCAATCATGGCCCGATGGGAGATGTCACGACCATCCTTGGTCCACTTGCATGTAGGGATGGGTTTACCCTTAATGGGTACAGACAGGTGGATGACACCACCTTGTCTGACCACATAGCCCTCTTCATATTTAGGATCCAGCTCATAGTCAGGATAATCTGAAGAAGACAGAGGTTTGATTTTTTTTAACTAAAGCTAAAAATGCCAGGATGCTATATGCCATGCCACCAAAAAACTGAAGTAAAGGATTTATAAATATTTCAAATTCTTTCTTTACCAAGCATCTCCTGGACTTTAACCACTCCAGGAATCTCAGCAGCTTCTCCACAACCACCAGCATTGCAGGCGATGATCCTAAATTTGTATTCAGCCCCCTGTGGCATGTGGGTGATGATGTACTCGCACATCTTCGTGGGAGTTGTGTTACACAGTGTCCATTCCAGCTGGTCTACCTTCTGCATTTCAATAAAGTAGCCAGTAATGACAGAACCACCCTCCTCTTCTGGTGGAAGCCAAGCTAGAGAAACAGAAGTCCTGGTAGTGTCTGTGACTCTGGCCTGAACTGGAGGACCTGGAGGTTCTGTTTAATAACAGAGAGAATAGGTAAAGATAGTGACCCCACAGTGGTATGGCTAATTTAAAACAGAAAAGCAGTATAACTGTTACAGTGATCTTTTGCGGGACATACCAATGGGGTCTAAAGCGATGGTAATGACAGAACTCTCGCTGGGTTTCCCAGCCCCTCTAGAGTTAATGGCTGTGATACGGTGTTCATACTCCAGGCCCTCAATCAGTCCGGAGGAACGGTACCTGGTCATAGTAACAGGGTTTTTGTTGATCCTCAACCACCTGTCAGAATGGGCCTCTTTCCGTTCTATGATATAGCCCGCAATAGTGGAGCCACCATTGTCCTCAGGTGGTTTCCAGGTCAGGGTCATGCCCTCATGGGTGACATCAAGCACTTCTGGCCTGCTTGGGGGTCCAGGGATGGCTACATAGAAAAGAAAAACAATCAGAGATTTGATTTGATTTTATTGATTAGCATTCAAATTCAAATCTCAGTGATGAATAACAAACAAAACATAGTCCCATATAGTTCAGTGAGAATAAACAATCCACAGGATTTTTACGTTTATATATCAAATCAGAACCTGTCTACTTGTAATTGTATACAGTGACCACCAATAACAGTGTGAAACTGAAACTGTAAAAAAATGCTTCAGAAAGAAGTTGGACTTGTGGGCTTGAAAAGAACAAGAAGACGGTTTTCAAAGCAACAGTGCAAGTTATCAAAGGCAGCACAATTCTCATTGAAGGTGCATATGAAGAACATCTTATGGAATGAGAACTTACTCTTGGCGCTCTTGCATTCCACCACATCAGACTGCAGGAAGCCACCAATGCCAAAACGATTCATGGCTGCAACACGGAACACGTACTCAGTTCCTTCAGAGAGCCTAGTGAATTTAAAGCAAGGCCTTGTCACAGACTCGGAGATGGTGGTCCAGCCAGGCCGGTGGGCATCACGCTGCTCAACGACATATCCGCTGACATTGGCACCACCATCATTCTCTGGAGGTTGCCAACTAACTGTCACTGAAACACCGTCGACTTCCTCGATCTTTACTGGACCCATAGGAATACTCGGTTTGTCTGAACAGAAACAACAAGGCAGCTATTTAGGAAGACAGTTTTTGTCTTTTTTATTTCTTTGTCTTTTGATTTTTCTCTGAAGGAAAAATACACCTTACTAAATAAAAACTGAAAATATAAAACATTCAGTTTAGTAAAGAATGTCTGCTTACCCAGGATGATAACCTTGATAATTTCAGTTGCCATGCCTATGGTATTCTTCACCTCTAGTGTGTAGTCTCCTGTGTCAGAGATGGTCGTCTCACGGATGACGAGATGGGTATATTTGCTGGTGCTGTCAATCTTGATGCGGTCCAGGGTGTCCTTCAGCTTCACACCACCAAAGTACCACGAGCAGACTGGCTGTGGTCTGCCCCTTATTGGGATGTTGAGGTCAATGGGTTTGCCGCGATTCACATGAACTATCTTCTGAGGGATACTTGTCATGTCAATCTTGGGCATAACTGCAGTAAACACAAAATTTTTCATATGACTTATGAAAGCTTTTCACAGCTTAGTAAAAACAGAAATGATGTGATGATTTGTGTTTTGATATCTTACCCTTGATCTCTTGGATGATCACTGGAGTGACAATGTCAGTGGATTCACTGGCTCCCCTGCTGTTCGTGGCGCGGATTCTGAACAGATACTGGTCATTTTCTGTCAGAGACTGGATGGTGTGCTGGGATACTGAGGCCTTAACTGTCGCCACAGCACTCCATCTGTCGGAGCCTACTTTGCAGGCCTCAATAATGTAGCCTGTCAATCTGCTGCCACCATCATGCAAAGGCTTCTCCCAGTGCAGGGTGACAGAAGATTTGGAAACATCAACAATCTCAAGCTTCACAGGCACTGAGGGCACTTCACACACCAGCACAGCCTCCGCTGTCTCACAGGGCTCACCGACACCATAGATATTCTCTGGCAGGACTCTGAAAAAGTAGTACACACCCTCCTCCAGTCCACTGATTCTGTACAGTGTTTTCCTACACTCAGTGGTAACAGTCTTATAGGACTTCATGTTGGCCTCACGCTTCTCTATAATATAGTTGCTGACATGAGCACCACCATCAATGCTTGGGACATCCCAGGTGATCACAACAGATTCCTTGGTGTAGTCCTTCACTTTCACTGAACATGGAGGACCAGGAGTGTCTGACAAAGAGAGGCAAGTAAAAAGATCATATTTCGAAACTATATTACTTTACTAACTGTATGGTGACTGTACATATTTGATATCCAAAATCTTTTAACAAACTCTGTGGAAACTTTGGTTGACATACCATAGACTTTAACAAGGATGATGGCAGTCTTTTTTCCAGATGGGTTCTCTGCCTCTACAATGTATTTTCCAGAGTCATAGCGATCAACCTTCTCTACTACCAGTGATGTGTACTTGTCAGTAGTCTCAATATAACCACGGCTCTGTAGTTCCACCCCCGTCTTCCTCCAGGCCACTACTGGCGTCGGACGACCAGTGACAGACACAAATAGGCGCAGAGTACCTCCAGCGCGGAGGCACACTGTTTTCTTTATGTCATCAGCCAGCTCCAAATCGGGTATTTCTGAGTGGATGGAGCATAGTTTACATAGAACATTAAAAAGTTCAGATGTAGTTCAAATATTGATTTTTTTCAACAGAAATCTACACCTACTTACCAATTTTCTCAAGTGGTTCAATTTCAGCACTTGGTTCACTGAACTCTCCAGTCCCATTGCTGTTAATGGCAGCAACCCTGAATCTGTACTTCTTATTGGCAGCCAAACCAGCAGCCACATACTCATTAGTCTTGAGGGCTTTGGCAGTGGCACGGTACCACTGCTCAGAACCCTCCTCTAGGATCTCCACAATGTAGCCGGTGACATCTGATCCACCATCATACATGGGCCTGGTCCAAGTCATGGTGATGCTGTGTTTCGTTGTGTCTGTGATGCGAGGCACTGATGGAGGAGCTGGGGTGTCTGTAGATGAAATGGAATTTTTGAAAATGTATTTTATCTAAACAAATATGTTGTAAAATATGTTTGGGGTGGTGCTTTCAGCATTGGTATCACTTCCTCATCCTGTTGCAAAGCACAGTGTGTGCCACTTGATTAACAACAAACATAGTGACTTCATCTGTTCACCTGTTAAATCCAGAATTCAAAATTCTGCTCCTCACATACAAGGTCTTAAATAATCAGGCCCATCTTATCTTAATACACTCTAAAGCCAGGATTTAGAGTGTATCACAATATAAATATATCACTAGTGAAGGTTACAGATGATCAAATGGCCTCTGTCAGCACTTATCTTGCTGTGCCACTACACCACAATGTGGGGTTCAATAGCACTGTGCTATGTGCATGTAAATGGGGAGTTTTCTTTGCACAAAAAGGTTAATTATGAAGTTCCACAACTAGTTAAACCAAAGGCATGTCTTAAAGACACGAGACCTGAAATACCTCTAATTTACTACTTTGTTCATTTACTAATTTCAGAGAAAACAGGGCTTGATGTACTCAGGCCTAAAACAACATGGTGGAGACATCGAAACATGGTGTCTAACCAGATACTTACCTTGGCCTCCAATAACACTGAAGAATCTTGGAGTCTTTTTTAATCAGCATATGTCCACATTAACACTGTATGTTGGACAGCCTTCATTGCCTACTGTATTAAATCTTTAGTAAATATTAAACTCTGCCTATCCTTTAGTTTGCCTTTTTCCGGTATCTTTCTCCTCTCTTTCCCCTTACTCCCAGCTGATCGTGGGGATTGCTGCTCTTCCCCTGATCCTGGTTCTGATGGAGGTTTCTTCCTGTTAAAAGTTTCCTTCCCATTGTTGCCAAGTGCTTGCTATTAGTGGTTAGTATGATTGTTGTGTTTCTTTCCATCATTTTAGCATTTTTACCTTACAATATAAAACACCTTATGGTGACTTCTGCTGTGAATTGGTGCTATATAAATAAAAGTGAACTGAATGGAACTGAAAAATATTAAATAATATCACTTTTCTCTTGGCATTAAAAGGACAATGTCTACAGTTTTCTTTCTTTCTTTCTTTCTTTCTTTTTTTTTAAGTAAAAATGTCTTACATGTGGGGTCTTTACAGAGGATGTATACTGAGGTGTCACTTGGCTGGCTGTATCCAGCAGAGTTGACTGCTGTAACTCTGAACTGGTACTCGCTTCCCTCCAGTAGGCCTGTGATCTTCAGGCGGGTGTCATAGATGGTGTAGGTCTTATTCACTCGAGTCCACCTGGTCCAAACAACAAAACAACATCATGAAAGAGAAGGATAAGTATCTTTATTTAAGAAATGATGTCTCAACATCTTCAGTGAATCCAGAATTTGTTCTGACCTGCTACTGTTCTTCTCTCGTTTTTCAACGATGTAGTTTTTGAGCTCGCTTCCTCCATCACTCTCAGGCTTCAGCCACTCGATGATAACGTGCTCCTTACCCACTGCAGTCACCTCTGGTGTGCCTGGCTGGGAGGGGATTGCTGTGGAAGAGTGGGAACAGGTCAGAGTCACGCAAACACATCTACATTACGTTTTCCCTTTCATAAGATGTAATATAATCCATAACACCTAAATCCAAAATTGAAATTGTAAGTAAGACTTGGAAAAATGCTGCAGCTTACTGTAAGCGTTTCTGGCGATGATGGGATCAGATTCCAAAGGAACTCCAGCCCCATACTTATTGACACCTCTAACCCTAAAGATGTACTCATTGTTCTTGATCAACCTAGTGCTGACACATGACAGGGTCTTGCACTCAGTCTCCATGATGACCCAGTTGAGGCGGCTGGTCTCACGACGTTCCACAATGTAATGGGTGACAGAGTCTCCACCATCCTCCAGAGGTATCTTCCAAGACACTGTACATTTTTCCTCTGTGACTCTGCTGATTACAATCCTATCAGCTGGAGCTCCAGGAGTGTCTAACAGACAGAAAGCAACATTTCAATTAGAAAGTTCAAACTATTACGACACACTAATTAATTAATGTCCTTTTGGCTGCTCACCTAGAACTTTAACGCTGACAGCTGCCGTCTTAATTCCACTGGCATTCTTGACAGTTAGAATGTATCTACCTGTGTCGTATCTGTCACAGCTCTTGATGACAGCCATGGCTCTAGTGGCAGTGTAGGTCAGTGAATATTTTTCTCCAAGTTCTAAAATCTTGTCACCCTTTGACCAGTACACTGTAGGCTCTGGTTTACCACCCACAGCACCGTCCAAGACAAGGTCAGAACCAGCAGTAACAGTGACAGTCTCACCTATCAGTTTGCTGTCAAGTTCAGCTTTGGGAGGAGCTGCAAAAAGTAAGGGATGATTAGTGTTACATTAAAAAATAACAACATATACCAGTATAATGAACTGAACCCTGAAAACAATCTTTGTTTTCGTCATTTTTATTGATATTCTGCCTGGTACACCAAGCAGGGGAGCTTTTTTTTCTTTAAAGTTACATTCATTCATAGTTATTTATTGTTTCTAAAATAACAGGAAATGTAGATTAACTTATTTAAATACTATCAAGGAAAAAAAAAAAAATCCCCAAACAAAACCCTTGAACTTACAATATTCATCCTTGCATGTGACTGGTCCAGTGGTCTCTGAAGGGACACTTTGAACACCTGCAGCATTCTTGGCAACGACACGGTATTCATAGGTCTCTCCTTCACCTAGGTTTGTGATGGTGAAGTAGTTCTCTGTGATTGTGGTATAGTTGCACTTGAGCCAGCGGTTGTCATCCCACTCATCTGTGCTGTAGACTTTTCTCTCCACCACATAACCAATGATCTTACTGCCACCATCATTGAAGGGCACCGTCCAGCACAATGACACAGAAGAGCGGGTGATGTCTGTCACCTCGGGTTTGCCAGGAGGATCTGGAGGGTAGAAATGATCATAAAACATTTATATAAGTTTATTCACACAACGTCAGATATTGTTAAAATTTGTGTAGGTTCTCAGTCATTCAGGTCAGAGTAGTCCTAAGGGCTTGAGTTGAAAAGAAGTTCTTGAAGATGTTTTATCTATCATCCAAAAGTGTTCTCTAGCTTCAGAAGTTCAGAAAAAAGAAGTACAATTGACTTCAACTCAAACACTTCCGACTATGCTCTTAAAGTCTCCATTATGCATTTTAGTTGGGCAATATCAACAGTAATAACAATAGATCTGTTTTTAGGACCTTAAGCAAAATTGAGTATTGACCATCTGTCATTTCATAATACATCTTCATAGTTAGGATGCATGTGAATGTGAATATTTTCTTACCAACAGGATTGAGTGCCACTACAGGTCTGGAGGCTTCGCTGGCTTTGCTGAGCCCAGCAAGGTTCATGGCATACACCCTGAACTGATACTCTAGCCCCTCAATCAGGTTCGAGACCTTGTATTGGCAATCCAGGCAGGGTAGCTTGTTCTCCCTCACCCACAGGATCGTGTTCCTCTCCTTTTTCTCAATCCAGTAGCCTGTCACCTTGCTGCCACCATCAGCATATGGAACATCCCATTTGATGCTAATGGCATTGGCAGATATAGATATCACATCTGGGCGAGTTGGAGGACTTGGTGGAACTATGAAAATCAAGTGGAGATGAGAATATGGTTTGTTTAGAAGAAATCCAAAGCATTAAAAAACAAAACCAATGTTGGCACACACATATGTAAAATCAGGATCAGATATTTAAACTGTTGGACAGCACCTACCAAATGGATGCTCAATGACAACAGGGGCAGACTCAACGGACTTGCTGACTCCAAACTTGTTCTCAGCACAGACTCTAAATGTGTACTCCATGTATTTGGTGAGATGTGTGACTTTGATGGTGGTTCTCTTCACACTGGAGTTCACCACTTGCCAAGAAGCAGAGCCAGATTCCCGTTTTTCTACAATGTAGTTGCTGATGTCAGTACCACCATCATCAGCTGGCTCAGACCAAGAAAGGGTGCAGGACTCTGAAGAGATTCCAGAAATTTCTACTGGTCCTGTGGGTGGACTTGGTCTGCCAACTATGACCACAGTCACTGTGAATGTCTTCACACCAGCAGCATTCTCCAGTGTCAGGTAGTACTTGCCGCTGTCGCTTCTCTTGCTGTCTTTCACTACCAAAATGGTTCTTTCCTTTGAGGTCTTAATGGAGACTCTGTCAGTCTCCTTCAGCTTCATCTCTTCCAGTTTCCAGGTAACTTTAGGTGCAGGTCTGCCACTGATAGGGACATCAATTGTGAAGGTGTTGGAAGTCTTGCAAGTGATGAGCTGGTTGGTGATGCTGCTGAGATCAGCAGTTGGTTCTATGCAAGGCTCCTTTATGACCACAGAGCTAAAGGTGCCCTGAGGTTCGCTAATTCCAGCATCATTCTTGGCTTTCACTCTAAAGTCATATTCTGTGTTCTCAATCAGACCCTCTACCAACATCTTCTGAGACTTAGTCTCTCCACTAACAACCCAGTGGTCAGTGCCCTTAGCCCTGAATTCAACAATATAGCCTCTAATGCGGCTGCCTCCATCATGCTCGGGTTTTAGCCATACCAGTGAGGCTGTGGAATTGGTTGTGTCAACAACATCCAATCTCTTGGGTGGCGCAGGTTCTTCTGTGGCAATTATAGGCTCAGTCATCTCTTTTGGTTCTCCCTGGCCATAATGGTTAACAGCAATCACTCTGAACAAATACGGTACACCAATTTCCAGACCAGTTACTCTGATCATCTGCCGTGAGCACTTGGTGCTGACTTCTTGCCAGGCAAGGCGGCTTGCTTCACGCTTATCCACAATGTAGTGGTGGATTCGGGATCCACCGTCAGTGGCAGGAGCGTCCCACATCACTGTCAAGGCTCCGCGAGTAATATCTTTGAAGGTTATGGCTCCTGGAGGTCCAGGAGTATCCAGTACTTTAACAGTGAATGTGATGGATTTGCGCCCACTGTTGTTCTCCAGGGACAGGGTGTATTTGCCTGCCTCATACCTGGTGCAGTTCTCTATGGTCAGAGTGGAAAATGAATCTGTGGTGTTGATATCAGCCATTATCGGAAGCTCACTGTCTAATTTAGACCACGTAGCTAGAGGAGCTGGCTTTCCTCGGAAAGCAATATGTAGGGTTATAGTGCCTCCATTCTTCACAATATGAGTTTGCTTGAAGTCAGGACCAAGATCAATTTCAGGAGATGTAAGTCTGTCCAAAGACTGAACAGGGTTTGGCATCACTGATGCTTCGCCCTCTCCTGATCCATTTACAGCACTGACTCTGAACTTGTAGAGTTCTCCAGGTACTAGACCTGTGACAGTATACCTGGTGTGAATACAAATCTGTCTGTTGACTCTGTGCCACTCCTCCAGACTGGCCTTACACATATCTATATTGTAGCCAATTATTTCCATGCCACCATCAAAGACTGGCTTGGTCCATTCCAGGGTGACAGAGGACTTAGTGGAGTCAATGACCTGATGAACAAAAAGCATAGTTACAATTTTTTTTAATGCGTTTTGTTTCTACAATCTAATATTGAGTTGAACTCAGCGTTCTTCACTACAATGCTGCACCTGTTTTGTATCCAAATTGCCTCTTGTGTATGAATATGAAACATGTATAATTCAATGAGTGTTAACACAAGATCTACCTTGATTACAGTGGGAGCACTGGGAGCGCTTGTTGGTTCTCTGCATCTGAAGAGCCTGGAGGTGCTGCTGGCTGGTCCAACACCAGCTCCATTTTCAGCCATAACACGGAACTCATACTCATTGCCCTCAGTAAGTTTGGTCACACGGTGCCTTAACTCTGTAATGGGCCTCTTGGAGGAGACCTTAAGCCAGCGCAAGCTCTTCTTCTCTCTCCTCTCTAGGATGTAGCATTTAATCTCATTGCCTCCGTCTGACCGTGGCCTGGTCCAACACAGCGTTATGCTGTCTCCAGTAACATGGGTGGCATCTGGTGTACCAGGGGCATCAGGAACAGCTGAGTAACAGAACAAAAATATAATTTTTTTAAAGTAATATCTTTGAATGGTGGAAAGCATTTCTTCCATTAGTGCTTATGTTCAATAGAAAATTCAGATTACTTTTAAGAGTTTCCCAAGAAGTCAGACAGACAGCACTGAGTAACTTTACTTACTGTATTGCATCTTCGCAATTATAGGATCAGAGTCCAGTGGTTTTCCGACACCAAACTTGTTGACAGCAGAGATTCTGAACTGGTACTCATTGCCTTTGATGAGGTTGGTGGCATTATAAGAGCAAGCTTCACACTTGGAGGTGACCAAGGCCCAAGTGATCCTGGATGTCTCCCTTTTCTCCACCACATAGTGAGAAATGGCAGCACAGCCATCGTTCTCTGGTGGGCTCCACCACACAGTGCACTTCTCAGCTGTGATGCCTGTGAAACGGATTGGGCCCTCGACGGGTCCAGGGGTATCTGCAAGGAAACAGTTGATTGAGGAGACTTGTTACGGTAAAAACATTTGTATCACTTGTGTCAACAGAAACAGATTTGTCTAAAACAGCGTTTTTTAACAGATATTATAACAAATTGCACACATTTACAAACCTTGGACTCTAACGTTAATGTCAGCTTTCCTGGTTCCAGAGCTATTTTTGGCCTCTACAGTGTAAATTCCACGGTGGTTCCTGTTAGAATCGCGAATAAACAGACTACTGGTGCCAATGCCAGTAGTAATCTCAATGTCAATCATAGTCCTCTTGTCGATCTCTTTACCCTCCTTGTACCAAAGAACCTGTGGGACTGGACGTCCGGTGATTTTGCAGCTGAGACTGACGTTATCTCCAGCCCTCAGGGTGAGCACCTGGTCTGGAGACCACTCAATCTCAGGAGCAACTGGAGATGCAGACAAAAAAATTATGAATCAGCATCAAGTAAGATGTGATTAATTAAAAAACAATCAACGATTTGCGTTCTTCTAACATGTTTTTATATTAAAAATACTTACTGCTCTCATCCTTGGTCATTATGTATCCAGAGGAGTTGGATGGTGGGCTGACTGTGCCAACAGCATTCCTGGCAATCACTCTGAACTCAATTCTTTCTCCAGGTGAGAGACCAGTTACAGTGAACTGGGTCTCACTGATATCAGTGAAGTTGCACCGTAGCCATTTGCCTCTGCCTTGACGCCTCTCCACACTATAGGCTACAATTTTGCTTCCACCATCCCTCTTGGGAATGTCCCATTGGAGGGTGACTGAGTCTCTGGTTACATCAATGCAGACTGGGGTACCGGGTGGATCTAATTGAGGGAAGAAAGCAATTAATCCATAATAATTTAGATGTAAAGAGTAACTAAATAGGACAAAATAAAAGAATCATAATGTCTAAACTGTAAATACAAAACAACTACTAAATATAGACCGATGTACTGAGCAACGTCTACTTACCAACAGGGGAGATAGCGAGTGCATGTTTGCTCTGCTCACTGCAAGGGCTGAGTCCGGCATTGTTCTCTGCATAGACTCTAAAGGAGTACTCCAGACCCTCCACAAGACCAATTATCCTGTACTCTCTGTTAGAGATGGTTGTGGAATTCACTTTCTGCCATAAGAGGCTGTTCCTGTCCTTCTTCTCGACATGATAACCTAAGACTGGGGAACCCCCGTCAAAATCTGGGGCATCCCACTTTATTGACATACCATCACTGGTGATGTTGTAGGCAACTGGTTTTCCTGGAGGACCTGGAGGTTTGTACTGGTGCTGGGCAACAACATCTGAAGAGATGAGTGGCTCACTGACCCCATACTTATTTTCTGCACGGACTCTGAACTGGTACTGAGTTCCTTTGACCAGGTTAGGAATCTTAAAGGTAGTCCTGACAACACTGGAGCAGACCATCTTCCAGTTGGCCTGGGAGGTTTCACGTTTCTCCACACTGTAGCAGGTGATCTCGCCACCTCCATCTTCCTTCGGCTCATCCCAGGAGATAATAATACTCTGAGCTTTTATCTCGTCAAAACGGATGGGGCCAGTAGGGACTGAAGGGGGTCCCAGAGTGATCACATTGATGTCAAAGTAGTTCTTAATGACTCTGTTATCCAGAACCAAGGTGTATTGTCCAGCATGTTCTTTCTTAACCCCTCTGACTGTAACTGAAGTCTTGTTGTCAGTGGTCCTAAAGCGAATCTTCTCACTTTCCTTTAGTGGGAAATTATCCTTTAGCCAGCTGATTGTAGGTCTTGGTTTTCCCTTGAATGGTAACTCAATATGGATGTTTTGACCTATACGAACAGCAAGCTCTCCATTGGGATAATCATTCAGTTTGGCTTCAGGTGGAATGATGAGGTCCATCACTGTGATCGGACCAATTTGGGAGAAGTCACTGTTGCCTTTCTCATTCTTTGCAAACACTCTGAAATCCAGGATAGCATTTTCCTTGAGTCCCGTCACTTCACAGCTGCACCGCTTGCATTTAGCAGCTAAAGTCCATTTGACTTCATCCTGGGCTCTCTTCTCAATGATGTAGTCAGTGATGTGGCTGCCACCATCGTGGTCAGGTCTGCTCCACTGAAGGGTGACAGAGTTCTTTGTGGAGTCCACCATTATTAGGTCTTTAACAGCTCCTGGAGTTTCAGTTGCTCGGACAGCATCAGTGGTTTCACAAGGGTCACCCACACCAAACTCATTTTGAGCAGACACACGGAAGAAGTAAGCTATATCTTCCTCCAGCCCTGACACCTTGTAACTTGTATTTAAACACTCATCAGTAATCACTTGATAAGCTTTCATAGTGGAGGCCTTCTTTTCGACAATGTAATTAGTCACAGGGGAGCCACCATCTATGAGCGGAGGCTCCCAGCTTAGTGTCAGCTTTCCTCTTGTGACATTCTTTATCATCAGTTTCTGGCAGGTGGATGGACTGTCCAGAACCTTGAGGGAAACAGTAACTATCTTAGGTTCTCCAACACCATTCTCAATTTCCAGCACATACTTTCCACAGTCATCACGGGTGACCTTGGGGATGAGGAGTGTGGTAGCTCTTTCAGTGCTTGTGACTGTGTAGCGGTTATCACCAGCCATGTTACGGTCACCACGGCGCCAGGTGACATTTGGTGTAGGACGACCCTTCAGGGGGATAAAGACTTCCACATCACGGCCAGCCTTTGCTGTGTATTGAGTTGTCATAGCAACATCCAAGTCCAGATCAGCCTCCTCTGTTGGACACAAATGTCATACAAAGATGGAAAAGAATATTAATTTTGATTTTATTATTGATTCGTCTCAAGACTAATATCTTGTACTATAAAGGGAACTATATCAATACTAACCTAAAATATCTTTGGCTTGCACAGGCTGGTACATTTTGATGTCTTCTCCTTTGCCTTTACAGTTGACAGCAGATACTCTGAAGAAGTAGTAGATGCCAGGTTTGAGGTGGGACACGACATACTCACATGTCTTGACTTGTGGGTTGGTAATCACCCATTCTTTGTCCTCTGTATTCATCTGCTCTAAAATATAGTGTGTAATTTCGCTGCCACCATCATAGACGGGCTTCTCCCATCCAAGTGTGATAGATGTCTTTGTAGAGTCAACCACACGCAGCTTAGTGGGTTCACCTGGTAGATCTGGAGAAGAAAAAAGGAAAATGTAAACAATAAAGGAATTCCTCAAATGCTGACGAGATGAGGATAACAGCAAATTAAAGTCTTATATACCTATTGGGTCATAGGCTTTATAGAGCTCAGAAGGTTCAGAGTAGTTCCCTGCTCCAGCCTTGTTGACAGCACACACTCTGTACTGGTACTCATTGTTCTCCACCAGGTTAGCCACTTTCTGCCTGGTGTCTCTGATAGTGCCCTTCACCACCTTGATAAAAAAAAATGGATGTATTAAAGCTAACATCTCCTATTCATTGGTAGATTTTCTTTATGCTTGAACTTTTTAGATTTGGGGCAGCAAACAAACCTTGAACCATTGCAGACTCCTCTTCTCCCTTTTCTCTAGATAGTAGCCATCAATATCACTGCCTCCGTCCAACGCTGGTCTTTCCCAGGTCACTGTCATGGTAGACTTAGTGATCATAGTAACTTTAGGCTTAGATGGCTCGCTGGGAGGTACTGTGCAAAATAAAAACGATAAGGTTAAAGCTTTTAAGTTTACCATTGTAATTTACCACTGTCTATAATGAAAGTTGATATATTTTCAAACATGAGAGCAAGAGAGAGAGAGAGAGGGAGAGATACACCTCATCAGTCACATATGGGGTGACTGATGAGGTGACTTTATTCTATTTGCTTACCAAATGCATTCTTGGCAATAATGGGCTCAGACTCCAGTGGCTCTCCAATGCCATACTTGTTGACTCCACGGACTCTAAAGATGTACTCATTGCCCATTATGAGTCTGGGCACATTCACAATGCAGTCAACCAGTTTCTCTGAGACAATCGACCACATTACCCTGCTGGTCTCCCGCTTTTCTACAATGTAATGTGTCACCATGGCACCACCTTCATCAGCAGGTGGTGACCACATGATGGTGATGTTGTCAGCTGTCACCTTCTTAAACTGAATCTCTCCAGCAGGTGGGCCTGGCTTATCTGATTAGACAAGGAAAACATTTGACTCAGGGTGTATACTGCATATATGATACATGTTATACAATGAAAAATAAATATTAAATAAATACCTTGAATGAGCAGCCTGACAATGGCACATGAAGATCCGAGGGAGTTCTTCACCTTGACTTCATAGGTTCCAGAGTTAAGACGAGTTGTTTCCTTCACGAACACACTTGTGGACTCGAAAGTGTGTTTAAAAGAGAGCTGAGAAGTAGGCTTAAGCTCTCTGCCATCTTTAAACCACTCAATACTGGGAGCAGGTTTGGCTCTTATATTAAATTTGAGTTCCACATTAGAGCCAGCCTTGTGCTTGACCTCATTAAGATACTCCTGAGGTATTTCAATCTCTGGGGCACCTGGACCAGAGATGGTAAAACAAGTCAGGATGTAGAATATGTAGGGTGTGGAATAAATATCTTAGAATACAAGACAATGCATAATTGCAGAAAAAAATACACAAATATAACCCAACATGAAAAGACCTACCATAAGTGTCCACACATGTGGCTGGCCCCACAGTGATAGACGGATTGCTCACTGAACCAACTGCATTCTTTGCCATGACTCGGAACTCATATGTTTCATCCTGGGTGAGGCCAGTAACAATGAAGCGGGTGTCTGTGATATTGGTGAGGTTAGCTTTAGACCATTTGGGGCTAACACCCTCTCTCTTCTCAATGATGTAACCAGTTATTGGGGATCCACCATCATAGTCAGGCTTCTGCCAGGCCAGACTAATGGAGTTCTTAGTGATGTCAGTTATACGCAAGTATAGGGGTGGCTCTATAGGAAGATACAGTGAGAATGATTTTAATAAATATTGCAGAAAATCTTAAGTCAAAGAATTTTTCATGCATTTTATCGACTATAAACTCACCGCAGGCATCAATAGCCAATACAGCATCAGAAATCTTGCTGAAGGCACTAATTCCAGCAGAGTTTTCTGCTGCTACCTTGAACTCATAAATAAGTCCAGCATTTATGTTGGTGACTTTAAAGTGTGTAGCACGGATCACTGTTTTGTTGACTCGCTGCCAAAGGATGCTGTTTTTGTCTTTCATTTGGAGATGGTAACCAAACACATGGCTGCCTCCATCTGACTTTGGCTCCTTCCATGCAACGGTAATGCTTTCCCTGGTTACAGCAGTAATTTCTGGAGTTGATGGCACATCTGGTATAGCTGGAGGACAAGAGGCAGAGTTTGAGAATTTTGGCATGCTCACATAGTGAAGGTGTAAAGAATGAGTAGCAAAATTATTACGTTTATGTATAATAATAAGAAAAGCAAAAACTTCTTACTGTAAGGAAGACTGACAGCGACAGCTGGGGAGTCAATATGTTCACTGATTCCATATCTGTTCTCTGCCCTAATTCTGAATTGGTACTCCAGGCCAGTGGTCAGCTTCATAATTTTCATGGTGCAACGGGCCACAGCTGAAGACACGTCCATCCAGTTGGCTGTAGTTGTCTCTCGCTTCTGGATGATGTAGTTGGTGATGGGACTGCCACCATCATATGCTGGTGGGAGCCACTTTAAGCTTACACTGTCTTCTGTGACATCATACAGCTCCACTGGTCCAAGTGGGACACTGGGGCGGTCAAGAACCACAATATTTACAAAGGACTTGGTGGTTCCACTGGAGTTGGAGGCAATAATATCATAGCGGCCTGAGTCTCCTGCAATGCTCTCACGCACACTAATCTTGATGCTGTCAGGAGTGACTTCTGAGTTAAACCTCATTGTTGATTTGAGCAGCACATTATCCTTGGACAGAGTCACTTTAGGTAAAGGCCGGCCTGTCAATGGAATCTCACATTTTAGGGTAGATCCAGCTCTAACATATACTGTATTGTGGGGGAAGTCCTTCATGTTGATCTCAGGAGATTCTAGAACAGAAAAGTACCAAAAAGAGTTACAACAGGAGAAATTAGGTGTAGTCTCTACTAATTGCATGGCATGTTTTGATTATTATAACAAGCTTGTAGTTTACCAAGCTGGTCTTTGACCACTACAGGAGTAATCATTTCCTTAGCATCACTGAATCCAGCATAGTTCTCAGCTCTGATTCTGAAGAAGTACTCCGCATTCTCCCTCAGACCAGACACTGTGAAGTGGATGGACTTTGTTGTACCACATTTAACCCACTTCTCTTGTCCATTCTCCAGTGCTTCTACCAGGTAGCTAGTAATTCTGCTGCCTCCATCATGTTCTGGCTTGGCCCAAGCCAAGGACACACTTTCCTTGGTCACATCCGTTACACCCAGTTTTGGTGGTGGACTTGGTTTTTCTGGAGAAAGAAAATATGTCTTTCAATTAAAACAAATTTTGATATATATTTATCTATAAAAATTAAAAAAAATACCAACTCAGGATTTAATACCTGTGATCTTGGTCCCCTCTTTGGTCTCAGCAGGAACACCAATACCATATTCATTCTCGCCTGTCACTCTGAAGTAGTAGACTTCTCCCTCCTGCAGGTCTGCCACCTTGTATGTCAGTCTGTGGCATGTGTCAGTCAATCTAGTCCAGCCTTTCTTGCTAGCCTCACGGTAATCAATAAGGTAATTCTTGACTGGTCCTCCTCCCTCAATCTCAGGAGTATCCCAGGTTATAGTAGCAGAGGTCTTTGTGACTTCCTTGACCTCTATATGACTAGGAGGCCCAGGTGAGTCCAAAACACGGACAATGAGCGTCAAGGAGGAGGTACCAGCTACATTGGATAGAGTGACAGTGTATTTTCCAGAGTCATTCCGAGTTGCTTTTTCTAAGGTGATGGAAGTAAAGGTATCTGTGGTGTCAATTACAGCGCGAACTCTAAGGTCTACATCAGGCTTAGCCCAAGTAACACTAGGGATGGGTTTGCCTTTGAAAGGAACTTTCATTGTGAAAGAGCTTCCATCCTTTACAATAAGAGTCTTTCTCATTTCATTGCTAACATCAAAGGTTGGCTCCTCCTCTCTTTCTTTGGCAACTTGTTTGTCTGACTCAGGACTGGGCTCACTCACTCCAATCTTGTTAATGGATTTGACAACAAACACATATTCAGTTCCAGGTGATAATCCCACCACTGTAAATTCTGTGTTTTTGGTGTTCTGTACTCCAACAATCCATTCATCATCTAATGTCTTCCTGTATTCTACTCTGTAACCAGTCACAGGTGCTCCACCATCAAAAAGTGGCTTATTCCATGACAGGGTGACTGTAGTCTTTGTGGAGTCAATTATCCTAGGCTTAGCTGGAGGTGAGGGTAAAAACTGTGGGTCTTCTGCCCTGGTGAGTGGGCAAGGAGTGCTAGGAGCACTGAGGCCAGCAGTATTCTCTGCAAAAACTCTGTATTCGTACTCACAGCCCTCGCGAAGGTGTGAAGCTTTCACTCTAAGGTCATAAACAGGTTTCTTGTTGACACGGCACCAGCGGAGGCCAGTCTTCTCTCGCTTCTCAATTACATAGCCAGCAATACTGCTGCCACCATCAGAAACAGGTCTTTCCCAGCAAATGGTCATTGCCTCACTTGTAACAGAGGTGACCTGGACATTAGTGGGAGCTGAAGGGACAGTGAATGGATCAGTGGCCTTTGTTGGCTCACTCTCCAGGCTTTCACCATCTCCATATTTGTTGACTCCCCTAACTCGGAAGATGTACTCATTTCCTTTGAGCAGTTTAGTCACTTTGCAGGTAGTTGCCTTCATGTCACCATAGACAAGAGTCCAGGCAAGACGACTGGTCTCACGTTTCTCAACAATGTAGTGCATAATTTCAGCACCACCATTTTCCTGAGGTGGTCCCCATGACAGGGTGCATTTCTCTGCTGTGAGACCAGAAACTGTTAAAGGTCCTGATGCAGGTCCAGGTCTGTCCAGAACCTTACAGTTGATAGCCACAGATCTGGTTCCAGCTACATTGTGCAGAGTTAGAACATACTGTCCAGAGTCCCTTCTGATAGCATCTTTGACAATGAGCGTGGTTGTGAAGTTAGTGGATGTGATTTCACATCTAGCCTTGGCCTCAATCTCCTTACCATCCTTAGACCATGAAACAACTGGGAGTGGACGCCCAGTAATTTCGGCATCAATTCTAATGATTTCTCCAGCCTTAATGACAACCAACTGTCTGAATTTATCTTCCAGTATAATGGTGGGAGGATCTACATCATCTTTGACAGTGACGGGTCCAGTGCTTTCTGAAGGAGCACTCAATTGCTCTGCAGAATTTTTAGCAATAACACGGAAATCATATCGGACATCTTCTGTGAGACCAGTGACATCGAAGTAAGTGTCTTGAACATTGGTGAAGTTGCATTTCAGCCAGCGACCATTGGGAAGCTCTTGACGCTCAACAATGTAGCCAGTAATTTTTGCACTGCCATCATATTCAGGTCTTTCCCAAAAAAGAGAAACTGAATTTCTAGTGATGTTTGTGACTCTAAGGTTATGTGGAGATTCACATGGATCCCTGGCTGCCACAGGGTCACTTGCCCTAGTGCATGGACCAATTCCAGCAATATTCTCAGCATACACTCTGAACTGATACAACAGACCTTCTTCCATTCCTGTCATCTTAAACTGGTTCTCAGTCACCAGACCTCTGTTGACCTTGGTCCACAAGATGCTGCTTTGGTCTTTGCTTTCAATGTGATAACCAATAACAGGACTTCCACCATCACTTGCAGGTCTGCCCCATACCACGAGCATCCCAGTTTTGGTGGCATGGACAACATGAAGTTGGGTTGGAGGGCCAGGAGGCTCAAATGGATACTGAGCAACAACAGGAGCAGAATCTATGGCAGGACTCTTCCCATAACGGTTCTCAGCTGCAATGCGGAACTGGTACTCTGTCCCCTGAGTAAGTCGAGAAACCTTTATTGATGTTCTGGCCACTGTGGCTGACACGATTTGCCATGTTGTAGTAGTAGTGTCTCTCTTCTCAACTACATAGTTGTTAATCTGACAACCACCATCATAGGTTGGAGGATCCCAAGACAGAGAAATAAAGTCAGCGCTCACCTCATCAACCTTAATGTTACTAGGTGGTCCAGGTTTATCCAGGATTATAACAGAGATTTCAGCTGACTTGGTACCAACTGAGTTAGTCAGGGTAATCACATACTTCCCTACATCCTCCTTCGTGGCATCCTTGATGACAATCTTAGATGAGGTTTTTGAATTGAGAACATTTACCCTGGTTGTCTGCTTAAGCACTTGGCCATCCTTCTTCCAGCACACCTCAGGCTGTGGTCTGCTTTTGAAGGGAACGTCAATCTTCAAATCATCTCCTGCTTTTACACTGTATGTGGTGAATAACAGGTTGATGATGGGCTCCATCGTGATGTCCCTTACCACCACAGGAGTAGCCAGAGGCTTAGCATCGCTTCTACCCTTATCATTCACAGCAGTTACCCTGAAGGAGTATTCCTCTCCAGTTGTGAGTCCATCAATGGTAGCTTCAAGTGCTTTGACTTCACTGCACACCGTCCATTTGTCATCTCCCTTGGGCTGCATCTCCACAATATAGTTTGTAATCTTACTGCCTCCATCATGATCAGGTTTCTCCCAAGAGAGTGTAACAGCATGACGAGTAATGTCAACAACCACAATCTTACCAGGAGGCAGAGGAGGCTCAGACACCTTAACTTGATCTGTGGATGCAGGCAGACCTACTCCGAGTTCATTCACAGCTAACACACGGAAATAGTATCGGCCTCCTTCCTGCAGGTCTGAAATAATGTAGGAGTTTCTGACGCAGTTAGTGCAAACACTGGTGAAAGCCATTCTCTTCTGTTCTCTCTTCTCCACTATATAATGTGATATCTTAGCCCCACCATCAATTAGAGGAGGCTCCCAGGAGAGAGAGACAGAATTTCTTTTAACATCCTTAACTCCGAGGTTAGTAGGAGCACTAGGAGAATCCAGAACTCTGACGTTGATAAAGGCTGATTTAGAGCCACTGAGGTTTTCAAGGGTCAGCACATATTTGCCAGTGTCAAATCTGTCAACATTCTCAATCACCAGCATTGTGTAAGAGCTTGTGACTTCTATCTGGGCACGTTCATTTAGAGTGCCATCAGCCTTTGACCATCTGACTTCAGGCTCAGGCTTCCCTCTGGTTGTCACAAACAGACGCAAGGTAGCAGAGGCACGGACGTTGACCATCTTTCTTAGGTCACAATCTAGTTCAATTTCAGGAGCCTCCAGCTTCTCTGCAGCAATCACAGAACAAGGCAAATCTACATGTTCTCCTACTCCCTCACAATTAACAGCACTTATGCGGAAGTTGTATTCCGCATTCTCCTTAAGTTTCTTTACTGTGTAGTTAGTGGCTTGGACGCCAGTGTGTGGTGTGCTAATGATCCATTCATCATCTGTTGCCTCTTTCATTTCAATAATATACCCAGTGATCTGTGCACCACCATCATATATAGGCCTGGACCATGAAAGGGAAACTGTGGTACTTGAATGGTCAGTGACCTTTGGATTATTTGGGGGTCCAGGTGGATAAGTGGCATCACAGGCCTTGATGTACGGAGTTGGTGCACTAGGCTTTCCTACACCAGCAGCATTTTCAGCCGAAACCCTGAATTCATATGAGTGGCCCTCTGTGAGACCAGTGCATCTGAATCGCAGGTCATTCAGCCTCTTCTTGTTGCATTTACTCCATCTGATACCATCTTTATCACGTTTTTCAAGGACATATCCCTCAATCTCTGCACCTCCATTATCATTGGGCCTCTCCCAGGAAAGCACCATGGAGTCCCTAGTGATGGCACCGACCTCAAGGTTTGAGGGGGCACTGGGAGTGGTGAAAGGGTTACGAGCAACAACAGCTTCTGATTCTAAAGGCTCGCCAACACCATATTTATTTACAGCAGTAACTCGAAAGATATATTCATTGCCAGGCAATAGTTTTGTGATTTTGTGGCTGATTGCCTGAATCTTGGGCTCAACCATAGTCCATGACAAACGACTAGTCTCTCTCTTCTCAATGATATAGTGAGAGATGCCAGCTCCTCCGTCATGTGAGGGATGATTCCAATGCAGATAACATTTCTCAGCTGTGACCCCTTTGACTTCTAGAGGTCCATCTGGAGGCCCAGGTCTATCCAGAACTTTGACATTAACTGGGATCATCTTGACTCCTCCCACATTAATAAGCTTGAGGACAAAGTGGCCACCATCCACTCTGATGCAATCCTTGACTGTCAGGATGGTACGTGTAAGGGTAGTCTTGATTTCCATTCTTGGTGTGGCTTTGTCAATCTCTTTTCCATCCTTTAACCAAATGACCTCAGGCAAAGGTTTTCCAGTATAGTCAGCATCAATGACAAATGTCTCACCTGCGTGAACAATAGTCATATCCTTGAATTTCGAATCCATGGTGGCTGCTGGAGCCTCAATTTCATCTTTGGCAGTAATTTCCCCTGTGCTCTGAGAGGGTTGGCTCAAAATCCCAGCACCATTTCTGGCAATGACCCTGAACTCATACACACAGTCTTCAGTCAGACCAGTAAGTGTAAATTGTGTATCAATGATGTTAGTGAAGCTGGCCTTCATCCAGCGGGTGTCTGGGTGCTTCCTTCTCTCAATCACATAGCCAGTAATTGCACTCCCTCCATCATACTGGGGCTTGGTCCACTGGAGTGTCACATGGTTTCTGGTGATTTCAATAGGCTCAGGAGTTCCTGGTGAGTCACAAGGGTCCCTTGCTACTGTGCTCTCAGACAGCTTGCTAGCTGGGCTGAGACCAGCAATGTTTTCAGCATAAACCCTGAATTCATACTCAATACCTTCTTCAAGTTCTGTAGTTCTGAAACGTGTGTCTGGGATTAGAAGCTTGTTTAATTTAGTCCACAAGAGGCTATTCTTTTCTTTTCTCTCAAGGTGATAGCCAAGAATTGGACTGCCCCCATTGTTGGTAGGAGGTTTCCACTCAACGACCATGCTATCCTTGGTTACAGAAGAAATGACTGGTGTTCCTGGGGCCACAGGCTCACTAAATGGATACTGAGCAATAACAGCAGGAGAGACAATTGCAGAACTCTTCCCGTATCTATTTTCAGCTGACACTCTGAATTGATATTCAACACCAGTCTTCAACTTGGTGACTTTGATGGTTGTCCTGGCAATAGTAGCAGAAACAATCTGCCATGCTGTGGTGGTAGTATCTCTCTTCTCCACGATGTAATTATTGATGGGACAGCCTCCGGTATACTCTGGTGGCTCCCAAGAGAGAGTGACATAATTAGAGCTCACCTCTTCTATCTTTACAGGGCCCGTGGGTGGCCCAGGCTTATCAAGAATAATAACAGTAATCTCCTCTGTAGCTGTTCCAATGCTACTGGTGGCTGTGACAGTGTATTTGCCAGAGTCGTCCTTATTTGCATCTTTGATGTACAGCTTAGTGCATGACAATGTGCTGGAAACATTAATTCTTGTTGTCTCTTTAAGAGCTTGTCCATCCTTCTTCCATTCAACCTTGGGAACAGGTCGTCCAATCACTGGAATCTCAATCTTCAAATCCTCACCGTGCTGTAAACTATAAGTGTTAAATTGAATCTTGAATTTGGGTTCAATGGTTATATCTTTAGCAGTGACTGGCGCAGCCAAAGGTCTAGGGTCACTCTTGCCCTTCTCATTGAAGGCTAAGATTCGAAATAGGTACTCATGCCCTGCACTGAGGCCTGTGACAGTGCCTTCACAAGTTTTGCATGTGGCAGCTACCACCCATTCCTCTGAGCCAACAGGCTGCATCTCAATGTAGTAACCAATTATTCTGCTACCTCCATCATGATCTGGCTTCTCCCAGGAGAGTGAAGCAGTTGTTTTTGTCACTTCGGTCAATGTGACCTTACCCACAGGCAGGGGGGGCTCAGATGTTTTTACTGATTCTTCTGTCTCAGCTGGCTGTCCCACACCAAACTCATTCTCTGCTAAGACTCTGAAATAATATATAGTTCCCTCTGTCAGGCCAGTTATACGATAGCTTGTCTTTGTGCACTTGTTGTCCACATTAGAGTAAACCTTCCTTGTGGACTCCCTCTTTTCAACAAGGTAATTCTTGATTCTTGCACCACCATCAATAAGAGGAGGCTCCCAGGTCAGAGTCACACTTTCCCTCTTGATGTCTGTTACTGTTAGGTTTAAAGGAGCCCCTGGAGTGTCTAGCACCTTAACGGAAACAAAAGCTGATTTGGTGCCAGCACTGTTTTCTAAATTGAGCACGTACTTTCCAGCATCATATTTGTCACAGATTTCAATTGAGAGCTGTGTGTAATCTTCACCAGTCTCAACCTGAACTTTACTGGGTAACTCTCCATCCTCTTTGGCCCAGTTTATCTCAGGAGTAGGACGGCCTTTGAATGGAATGCAGACTCTCATCGAGCCTCCTGCACGGACAACTATTCCCTTCCTGAGCTCTGAATCCAGAATCACTTCTGGAGGGTCAATTTTATCCATAGGTTTGACGACTCCCTGAATCTCAGTGGGCTCACCAACACCCACCTTGTTGATGGCACAAATGCGGACTTTGTATTCTTGGTGTTCAATCAACTTTTTGATAGTAAACTTGGTAGCATTGACTCCACAAGGTGGGGTGCATATGGCCCATTCCTCCTCATCAGCCTTGGTTATTTCCACAGCGTAGCCTTGAATCTCACAGCCACCATCATAGATAGGTCTGTGCCAAGCCAGACTAATGGAGTCTCTAGTAGTGTCTACCACATGGACATTGGTGGGACAGCCTGGCTCGAAGGTGGGGTCACATGCCTTAAGATAGGTTGTCGATGGACTTGGCTGGCCCACTCCAGCTGCATTCTCAGCAGATATCCTGAATTCGTATTCATGGTCCTCAGTCAGTCCTGTTACTCTGAAACGCAAGTCTGTCACTCTGCGTTTGTTGCACTTGGTCCACCTCACTCCTGCTCTGTCTCTCTTCTCAACAATGTAGCCAACAATGTCACTGCCTCCTGATGTCTCAGGACGGTTCCAACATACAGTCATAGAATCCCTGGTGATATTTGTGATCTCAAGATCCTGAGGTGCTCCAGGTGGAACAAATGGATTTCTCATGATAACTGGTGCTGATTCAAGTGGCTCACCTGTGCCATATTTGTTGACAGCCATGACTCTGAAGATGTACTCATTTCCCTTCAGTAGTTTTGTAACTTTAAACATGGTAGCTTTACAATCACTGCAGACCACAGTCCATGCCAAGCGGCTAGTTTCTCTTTTCTGAATGATGTAGTGAGAAATGCTGGCGCCTCCGTCATGCCTGGGTGGCAGCCACGACAGTGAGCATTTTTCCTCAGTAACATTGCTGATAGTAAGAGGTCCTTCTGAAGGCCCTGGTCTGTCCAGAACCTTCACACTGAAGGGGATAGTCTTACTTCCTGCCACATTTGTGAGAACCAGAGTATACTGTCCACCATCAACTCTGATAGCATCCTTTACAACAAGCAAAGCTTTAAAATCTGTGTTTCTGATCTCCGCTCTTGCTGAGTTTTCAACTTCAAGATTCCCCTTGAACCACTGAGCAGTTGGAATAGGCTTTCCTTCCACACTGGCCTCAAGATTGAATGTCTCTCCTGCATTTATAACAATGGTCTGGTTGTACATAGGATCTGTCTCACTCTTAGGTGGTACAACTTCATCCTTAGCAGTTATGGATCCTGTGCTCTCAGAGGGCTTGCTAACGGCACCTGCAGCATTCTTTGCAATTACTCTGAAGTCATATTTGCTATCTTCTGTGAGGCCAGTAACTGTGAATTCGTGTTCAATGATGTTTGTGAAGCTAGCCTTCATCCATTTTCCTTCAGGAAGATCACGTTTCTCTACTAGATAACCTGTAACTAAACTCCCACCATCGTATGCCGGGGGGTTCCACTTGAGTTTCACTGAGTGCCTGGTCACAATCACAGCCTCAGGACGGCTAGGAGGATCACATGGATCACGGGCAACATAAACCTCAGACACTTTGCTACATTCACCAATGCCAACAATATTCTCTGCATAGACTCTATACTCATACTCAATGCCTTCCTCGAGTGGAGTAGATTTGAATCTACAATCTTGGATGAGCATTTTGTTTATCTTTGTCCAGAGGATACTGTTCCTTTCTTTTCTTTCCAAATGGTAGCCCAAGATGGCACTGCCACCATCACTTGGGGGTTTATGCCACTCAACTACCATGTAGTCTTTAGTGTATGAAGAAACAAATGGTGTTCCTGGTGGTCCTGGCTCCTGGAATGGATACTGTGCCACAACAGGCTGTGAATCAATTGCATAGCTCTTTCCATATCTATTTTCAGCATAGATTCTGAACTGGTACTCAGTGCCTGTCTTCAGATTGCTGACTTTTAGAGTGGTTCTAGCCACAGTGGCAGACACAACCGACCAGTTTGTTGTGGTTGTGTCTTTCTTCTCCACCACATAGTTTGAGATTGGACAACCACCTGTGTATGTAGGAGGTTCCCAGCTGAGGGTGATGCTCTCAGCACTGATATCCTCCAACTTTACAGGGCCTGTGGGTGGGCCTGGTTTGTCCAAGGTGATCACCTCTACAGTGGCATCCTTTGAACCAAGGTCATTGGAGACACCGATAGTGTACATACCTCCATCTTCTCTGGTAGCATCCTTTATGGTAAGAGTGGTAGTTTGTGCTGAGTCGGTGACATTGACTCTGGTAGTCTGCTTAAGGGCTACGCCATCTTTGGTCCAGGTGATAATTGGTTTAGGGTGACCAGCGACCGGGACCTCTAACTTGAGGTCATACCCCACCTGGACACTGTAAGAACTTGCCTTGGGTCTAACAGCAGGTTCAATAACAAGGTCCTTTGCTACAACAGAATGAGCCAACTGTCGTGGGTCACTTTTGCCCTTGTCATTTACAGCAACAACTCTGAACTGGTACTCCTCTCCCTTGAGAAGGTTTGTCACTAATGTTTCCAGTGCTTTCACACTAGCACATATAGACCAAGCTTCACTGTCCTTGGGAGCTAGTTCAACTTCATAGTGGGTGATTCTACTACCACCGTCATGCAGAGGCTTTTCCCAAGTTAAAGTTACAGTGCTGTGAGTAACATCAACAACACTGACCTTGCCAGGTGGCTGAGGTTTCTCAGATATCTTAACTGGTTCTATAGTTTTAGCAGGGAGACCCACACCATATTCATTCTCAGCCAATACTCTAAAGAAAAAGATTCCACCCTCTGGAAGAGGTTCAACTTTCCATGACATCTTGTTGCATGTCGTGATGGGAGAGTACACTTTCCTGGTGCTCTCACGCTTTTCAACAATATAGTGCTTAATCTTTGAGCCACCATCCAGATGTGGAGGCTCCCATGTGAGAGTGACAGAATTCTTGGTAATCTCTTTCACCACGAAGTTAGTTGGTGGACTAGGGGAGTCCAGCACTCTGACACTTATGAAGACTGATTTTACTCCACTAGCATTCTCAGCAGTCAGGGTGTACTTGCCACTATCAAATCTGTCAACATTCTCAATGACAAGTGATGCATAGTTGCCTGTATTGTCAATCTGAGCAGTCTCCTTAATCTCACCATCAGCCTTGCCCCATTTCACCTCTGGAGCTGGACGACCCCTTACAGGAACAAACAATCTGAGCGTACTTGCTGCTCTGATGTTGATCATCTTTCTCATATCTACATCAAGATCAAGATCAGGTGCTTCAAGTTTCTCCTCCAAAAGAATTTTTCCAGGAACATCAGCATGCTCACCAACACCAACCTTGTTGATTGCACACACTCTAAATTGGTACTCATGCTTTTCCAGAAGTTTTTTCACAGTATATTTTGTGTCCATGATTCCAGTTGGTGGAGTACACATAAACCACTCATCAGATGCACCATTACATGCCTCTACAATGTAAGACTGAACCTCGCAGCCACCATCATAGATGGGTTTGCCCCATGTTAGAGAAACAGTGGATCTAGATGTGTCTACCACCTTGGGGTTGTTTGGTGGGCCTGGTTTGAAGACAGGATCCAGTGCTTTGTAGTACACTGTTGGTGCACTAGGCATGCCAACACCTGCAGCATTCTCAGCAGCAACTCTGAATTCATAGCTATGGTTTTCAAGAAGCCCGGTAACTCTAAAGCGCAGCTCACTAATATTGCGCTTGTTGCATCTAGTCCATCGCACACCATCCTTGTCACGTTTCTCAACAATGTATCCCTGGATTGGGCTGCCACCATCATTAGTTGGTCTCTCCCAGGTCACCACCATAGAGTCTTTGGTGATTGTGGAAACTTCCACATTTGTTGGTGGGTTGGGAGTGACAAATGGATTCCTGGCAACCATTGGCTCAGATTCCAGTGGCTCTCCAACTCCATATTTGTTAACAGGAATCACTCTGAAAATATATTCATTACCAGGAAGTAATTTGGTGATCTTCAAGTTCAGTGTCTGAACTTTTGGTTCAACTACAGTCCAAACCAATCTGCTGGTTTCCCTCCTCTCAACAATATAATGGGAAACATCACTTCCTCCGTCTTGCAAGGGAGGTTTCCAGGAAATTGAGCATTTTTCATTAGTGACACCATAAATGGATATAGGGCCTTCGGGTGCACCAGGTCTATCTAAAACCTTAACATTAATGTTAACAGATTTCTCTCCTCCAACATTCTTTACTAGAAGTATGTACTGACCTCCATCAACACGGATGGCTTCTTTAACAACAAGACAAGCTGTAAAATCTGTGTTCTTAAGCTCTAAGCGAGCTGCTTCGGTGATCTCCTGGCCCTCTTTCAGCCAATGAATTGTGGGTACAGGTTTACCGTAAACAGCAGCCTCAAGTTTAAATGTCTCTCCAGCATTAACTACCACAGTTTGGGAGTATTTAACTTCCAAGTCAATTTTGGGTGGATCCACCTCATCCTTGGCAGTGATGGCTCCAGTAGAATCAGATGGCTGGCTAAAAACACCTGCTGCATTTTTGGCAATGACACGGAATTCATAAGTCTGATTCTCAATAAGTCCTGTGACAACAAATTCTGTTTCAGTGATGTTAGTGAAACTGGCCTTCATCCAGCGACCAGCTCCCTCCTTCTTCTCAATAACATAACCTGTGATCTTGATTCCACCATCATATTGGGGTTTTGTCCATCTTAGTGTCACTTGGTTCCGTGTTACAATGACAGCTTCTGGTTTTCCTGGTCTGTCACAAGGATCTCGGGCAACTTGTATTTCACTCACTTTGCTGGCTTTGCTGAGGCCAACAATGTTCTCAGCATAAACTCTGAACTCATATTCAATACCCTCCTCCAGGCCAATAACCTTGAATCTAGTTTCTGGGACAAGTTGTTTGTTCTGTTTCACCCACAATATATTGTTTCTCTCTTTTAGCTCTAAATGGTATCCCAAAATCTTGCTTCCACCATCATTGCTGGGTTTTTCCCATACAACCACCATACTTTCCTTGGTGGTTGACTGAACGGTAACAGAACGTGGTGAACTAGGAACCTCAAAAGGATACTGAGCAACAATAGTATCAGATAACAGGGCTGAAGATTTGCCATATCTGTTCTCTGCAGCAATCCTGAATTGGTACTCAGATCCAGTTTTCAGACGTGCTGCCTTGATAGTGGTTCTGGCTACTGTAGCTGACACAATCTGCCAGTTTGTGGTAGATGTGTCTCTCTTCTCAACGATGTAATTATTGATGGCACAACCGCCATCATACTGAGGTGGATCCCAGGACAGGATCACGCTATCAGCAGTGACCTCATCTAGCTTAATTGGGCCAGTTGGAGGGCCAGGCTTATCTAAAACAATAACACTGATATCTGTAGATGCCTCTCCAGCTGTGTTAGTAAGTTTGACAGTATATGTTCCCACATCATCTCTGCAAGCCTCCTTAATAACCAGGAGAAGATTTTTGTCTGTGGCATCTGCATTCACTCTTGTCGTCTCTTTGAGAGCAACACCATCTTTGAGCCAAGTTGCTGTAGCCTTGGGATGGGCAGCATATGGTACATCTATTTTCAGATCATCCCCTGCTAGCACACTAAATGTGCTGAAAAGAAGTTTGAAGGTTGGTGAGATGACCAGATCCTTGGCAACCACAGGCACATTGAGAGGGCGGGGGTCACTGACTCCCTTTTCATTAATGGATGAAATACGGAATGTATACTCCTCTCCCTGTGTAAGGCCAGTAACATGAGCTTCATTGCTTTTTACAACCATAACCTGGGTCCACTTCTCACTGCCTTTTCCCTGCATCTCAACTATATAGCCAGTGATTCTGCTTCCACCGTCATGGTCAGGCTTTTCCCAACTTAATGTGACACTTTTGCTGGTAACTTCACGGAGAGACACTTTGCCTGGGGGAAGAGGCCTCTCTGATGCTTTAATTGGTTCAAGAGTCTCTACTGGGAGGCCAATGCCATATTCATTCTCAGCCAAAATTCTAAAGAAGTACATCTTTCCCTCCTCTAGGTCTCCAACTTTCCAACTTGACTTATGGCAGCTGGCACACACAGTTGAATAAGCCTTTCTGGTTGATTCACGCTTCTCCACGATGTAATTGCGGACTCTGGAACCACCATCAATGACAGGAGCATCCCAAGCAAGAGAAACTGAATCTCTAGTGACCTCCCTGACAATCAGATTCTGAGGTGCTCCAGGACTGTCTAGCACTCTGACATTAACAAAGGCTGTCTTACTTCCTGAGGCATTCTCTACAGTCACAATGTATTTACCCCCATCAAATCTGTCAACATTCTCTACCTGAAGAGTGGTGAATGATGAGGTGATTTCAATGTTAGCTTTATCTAGAGATTCCCCATGCTCTCTAGACCATTTTATTTCAGGTGCTGGTCTTCCCTTGATAGGGACAAAAAGTCTGAGTGTGCTGCAGGCTCTGATGCAGACCACCTTACGTAGTTCTGCTCCAAGTTCAATTTCTGGAGGAACTAGTCTGTCTTCAGACTTGGGTGTTCCAGGAACAGCTGCAGGCTCTCCCACTCCTTCACAATTAGTTGCAGAAATATTGATTTTATACTCTTGGTTTTCCCTCAAATTGGTGATGGTGAAAGAAGTGGCAGTCCAACCATTCTTGGGAGTGTGAATTGTCCATTCATCCTCCTCAGGCAGGCAGGTCTCCACTATGTAACCAGTGATTTCTGAACCACCATCATAGACAGGCTTGTTCCATGCAAGTGTGATAGAAGACTTGGTTGTGTCCAGCACTCTGGGGTTCCCTGGAGGTCCAGGTTGGAAGATGGTGTCAATGGCTTTGTAGAATGGACTGGAAGGACTGGGCTGACTTAGCCCAGCATTATTCTCAGCAAGAACTCTGAATTCATATTCATGCCCTGGTGTGAGGCCTGAGACTTTGAATCGCAAGTCAGTTACAGTCCTCTTGTTGCACTTCACCCAGCGCAGGCCAGTTTTGTCCCGTCTTTCAATTATGTATGTGTTTATTCTACTGCCACCATCATGTTCAGGGCGATCCCAGCAGACAACCATAGAATCCTTGGTGATTATGGTGACTTCAGGTTGCTGTGGTGGGTCACTGGGTACATAGGGGTTGGCACAGATGACAGGTTCTGACTCCACAGGTTCACCCACACCATACTTGTTAACAGCCATAACTCTGAAAATGTATTCATTGCCCTTTAGAAGCTTGGTGACCTTGAACCTATTAGCTTGAAGGTCTGTGGCCACATTTGTCCAAGCCAACCTGCTGGTCTCTCGTCTCTGAATGATAAAGTACTCAATCTTGGCACCACCATCATGTGTTGGATGGAGCCAATTAAGGACACATTTCTCAGCAGTGACATCTGTTACAGTGAGGGAGTTGGGAGGTCCTGGTCTATCTAACACCTTGACATTGTATATGAACTTAGCAAAGCCACCAGGATTGCTGGCAATCAAAGTGAAAGCACCACCATCCCTCCTGAGCGAATCTTTGTTTGTTAAAGTTGTGTGGAACTCGGATGTTTTTATCTCAATTTTGGCTGTATCCTCAAGCTCCTTTCCTTCTTTGGTCCATACCAGAGATGGGATTGGCCTTCCAGTTACACTGGCTTCCAACTTGAATACCTCTCCTGCCATGACAACAACAGTGCTGCTATATGATGCATCTACATCAAGCCGGGGCTCTTCAATGTCATCTCTGCACAAGATTGCTTCAGATGACTGGGATGGAGCACTAACAGCACCAGCTGAGTTCCTAGCAAACACACGGAATTCATAGGTTGCATCTTCAGTTAGACCACTGACTGTGTAGATAGTTTCCAGAATGTTGTTGAAGTTTGCTTTGAGCCAACGTCCATTGGGCATCTCCCTCCTCTCTACGGTGTATCCAGTAATAGAAAATCCTCCATCTCCCTCTGGCTTGGTCCATGACAAGGTCACTTCATGCCTAGTAATATTTAGTGCTACTGGCCTGCCTGGTGGATCAACTGGGTCCAAAGCATACATGGGCTCAGAGGGTTTGCTGGCTTTGCTGAGACCAGCCATATTTTCAGCAATAACACGGTGTTCATATGCAATTCCATCAATAAGGCCCGTTGATTTAAACAGATTTCCAACAACAAGGGCTTTGCTGATCCTCTGCCACAGAATACTGTTTTTCTCTTTCCTTTCCACATGATAGCCCAGAATGGCACTACCTCCATCAGAGGATGGCTCATTCCAACTAAGGGTCATAGCATCCTTGTTGAAAGAGGTGACCACGGGAGTGCCAGGCTGGCTTGGTACATCAAATGGATAGACAGCTACCACTGGTTCAGAGATAATGCTTGGTCCAATCCCATATCTGTTCTGGGCCTTGATGCGGAACTGATACTGAGTTCCTGTAGTGAGTCTGGCTGCCTTAAATGTGGTGCGGATGACTGTAGCTGCCAGCTCTACCCATGAAGTACCAGTGGTCTCCCGCATCTCAACAATATAGTTGTTAATAGGAACACCTCCATCATTTTCTGGTGGGTCCCAGGACATCAGCACATAATCACATGAAATTTCTTCCAGCTTAATAGGACCAGTTGGAGGTCCAGGAATGTCATGAACCAGGATTGTGATTGTCTCTGTCATTGCCCCCAGCATGTTTTTACCAGTCATAGAATACTGGCCTCCATCTTTCTTTTTTATCTCACTGATGTTGAGAATAGTTGATGTTGGTGTGGTTTCAATGTTGAGTCTTTGTGTCTCCTTGAGCACTGTATCTCCTTTCTTCCATGAAACCACAGGCCTTGGTTTGCCCAACACTGGAATCTCCACCTTCAACCGATCTCCTGCCTTAGCAATGATCGTTTTCTGGTAGACCCCACGCAGGTCAAATGAAGGAGCAGAAGTCTGCTCTTTGATAACAGCTGGTCTGCTCTCACGGGGATCACTCCTGCCTGATGCATTGACTGCCATTATACGGAAGGTATATTCAGCACCCTCAATTAGATCTGTAACAGTATAATCCAGAGCCTTAATGGTGGCCACATGGACCCACTGATCAGTGTCCTTCTTTTGAGCCTCAATGACATACCCAGTGATCAAGCTGCCACCATCATGCAAAGGCTTGGTCCATGCAAGGCTGGCACTATCAGAGGTAACATCGGTGACATACAAATTTTCTGGGGCAGAGGGGGCCTGGGATACCCTGATTGGCTCTGGGGTTTCAGCTGGCTCACCCACACCCAGGTCATTCTCAGCTGAGACACGGAAATAGTAGTAAGCTCCCTCCTCGAGGTCTGGAATCTTGAAGGAACACTTCTGCCATGTGGTGCTAAGCACTGTGTAGGCCTTCTTAGTGGCTGCTCTTTTCTCAATAATGTAGTTACGAATCTTAGAACCACCGTCAATAATGGGAATTTCCCACTGTAGGGTGATGCTGTTCTTCGTGATCTCTCTAGGTTTGAGATTGACTGGTGGTCCCGGTGTATCCAGAACTTTCACATTAACAAACCCAGTCTTCTTTCCAGCAACATTCTCTAGAGAAAGGTGGTATTTTCCAGCATCATATCTTGTGCAGTCAGGAATAACCAGAAGAGTGTACGACTCTGTGTTGTCAATATGTGCACGTGTTTTCAGGTTAGCATCATCTTTACTCCATGTGACTTCAGGGACAGGACGACCCTTGATAGGAACAAACATACGGATTGAAGCACGAACTCTAACTACCAGAGTTCTTCTGAGTTCAGCATCCAGCTCAAAGTCTGGCAACATCTCCTGGTCCACCAATTCAGTCACTTTCTCAACCTCTGCAGGCTCGCCTATTCCCTCAGAGTTTACAGCACTAACCCTGAAGTGGTATTTGCCTCCTTTTTGTAGTTTACCAATCACGTATTCTGAAGCTTTCAGTGGGTACTGTGTCTCTGTCTCCCAATCATCATGTCCTTCCTTTTTATATTCAACAATGTAGCCCTCTACTTCAAGACCACCATCATAGTGGGGTCGGCCCCAGGTGAATGTGGCTGAGGTTTTGGTGGTTTCTGTAATTCTAGGGTTGGATGGGGGACCGGGTGGATCTAATAAACACAAAAACAAAATATGGTAACAAAGTTAATATAGGTAATTATGTATTTGACAAAGCTTGATTTGTATTTTCTAACTCTCCTGCATTGCAGTTTTACAGTTTTAAAATACAATTCACATTGCCGTGAGAACATTGCTGTGAGTTTTACTTACACACAATATCTTTTGTCATGACAGGGCGCGATGGTTCACTTGGCTCCCCAAATCCAGCCTTGTTCTCAGCAGTGACTCTAAACTCGTACTCTACTCCCTCACTCAGGCCTTGCACCTTAAACCGCAGGTCAGGGATAGTCCGCTTACAGGCTCTGACCCATCTCAGTCCTTTTCTCTCTTTCCTCTCAACACAGTATCCCCTAATGTCACTTCCCCCATCTCGTACTGGTCTCTTCCATGAAATGGTGACAGCATTCCTACTAACATTATCAATCTCTGGGGTTGAGGGCGGACCTGGTGGTGCTGGGGAAACAGAAACAGGAAGGACAAATCAAATCAAATCAAATCAAATCACTTTGACTGTCACATCACATGTGCAGGTACATTGGTACAGCACATGCGAGTGAAATTCTTGTGTGCGAACTTCACAAGCAACAGAGTTGTGCAAAATACAATAACATAAACAGGCAAAATATATGAATGGCTAAATCTGAAACTAATAAATATGTGTACAATATATAATAGTATATGTAAAAAAAAAATTTTCTGGATGTGTACACTACTATTAGACATGTCTATTAGCTATATTTTTATTTTAAAGGATCTGCAAGATCCTATAGATAAGTTGCTTTTATTGTTTAATTATTAATACACAGATATAAACCACATAAAAAATATAAACTTACAGAAACTATCAACCATTTTGACTGGAGCAGACTGGGTTGAATCTCCTGTGCCATACTGGTTCACAGCAGACACTCTGAAAATGTATTCATTGCCTTTAATCAGTTTGCTGACTACGTGTCTGCAATCCATGACATTTTCAGCTAGCTTGGTCCACTGTAGTCGGCTGGTTTCTCTCTTCTCAAGGATGTAGGATTTGATAGTAGAGCCTCCATCCTCCTCTGGTGGAAGCCAGGTCAGGGTACACTTTTCGGCTGAAATGTTACTGGCTTCAACTGGGCCTGGAGGTCCAGGAACATCTAAGACCTTCACCTTAACATGTTCTTCCTTAATGCCAAAGGGGTTGCTGGCAGTGATAGTGTACTCCCCTGTGTTCTTCCGACTTGCGTACTTAATAGCCAGAGTAGAGGAGGTTGGGGTACTGGTGATGGTGACAATGTCAGAAGTCTTCAACTCACGTCCTCCCTTGGACCACGCTGCAGTAGGTGGAGGTTTGCCCACAATTTTAGAAGCTGAGATTACAATTGTGTCTCCTGCTCTGATGGCTATACCATCTTTCATTTCTGGGTCAATAGTGATGGTTGGGGGCTCTGTAGAGATGACAAAAAAAAGTTGTATTTTGCATTGTAGACAGTTGTTGACATTTTAAACGTTCAACAACTCAAAATTTCAAACTTTTGACAAATATTTTTAAGTCCTAACTGTACATATATACATAAAGGGGGGGGGGGGGAATCAATAATCTACAGTCAACTCCAAAACTAGTCAAACTGTTTACTACTTAGCTCACCATATTCATCCTTGCAGGTCAAAAGCGGAGTAGGCTCTGAAGGAATACTGATGGCACCTGCAGCATTCCTAGCTCTGACTCTAAATTCATACTGGGATCCTTCAGTCAGGTCAGTGACGGTAAAAGCACAGCCCTGAATGTTGACATGATTTGCTTTCATCCAGGCCTTACCACTGGCCTCAAGTTTCTCTATGATATAACCAGTAAGCTTGTAGCCACCGTCATATTTGGGAGCTGTCCACATCAGAGTGACTGTGCTCCTGGTGACACTGATTACTTCAGGCTTGCCAGGAGGATCTGACATGACACAAAAGAGAAGACGGTTGTAAAGCATTTCAAAAAGAGACATGGTTGCCATAGCTCAGGTAACAAGTACTGTAAACAGTACATAGTTGAATAAGCAAAAAAAAGATTCCAATAACAGTGGACTCACCAATAGGATCCAGAGCAACTACGGCCTCAGTTACTTTGCTAGCCTTTCCCAGGCCAGCCATGTTCATGGCCATTACCCTGAACTCATATTCTAATCCTTCTGTCAGTCCAGTGACTCTACATTCTTTTACTCTCAGAGGAGTCTTACTCGCCCGTTTCCACATCAGACTGTTCTTTTCCTTATACTCTATGTGATATCCTAGGGAAAACACAAAATTACTTGATCAGACTGATTGTTATTTGCTGTTTGCTCATACTTAGCATGTACATTGATCACTGTTTGTTACCAGTAACTGGGGCACCACCAGTGTCCTTTGGATCAACCCAAGTCAGGATGGCTGATTCATGCCTGATGCTCACAATTTCTGGTGGAGCAGGTGCCCCGGGAACATCTGGAGGAAGAAGAGAAAGCGAGAGGAAGACATTAATATGTGTAATAAAATCAGTTCAGTATAATGCAGATGATGTCATTACACGAGAAAGACTGATTTAAAAAATCCCTAAACAAAGCTATAGTTTCATTTCATTTACTAGTATTTTAAAAGTACATTTGTAAAACAAATACATCAGGTCTTATAATGAGCACTAAATGTTATTACTAGAGATAATTTTGCCCTTTTTCAAAAAAAAATTAGAGACAATGTCTTGACAAGACAAAAAGATCTGAAGTATAATCAGTTATAAATTAACAGTGGTAGTAGACAATGGCCATACTTACTGAAAGGATGCTGGGCAACGACTGGGTCAGACCTCAGATGTTCTCCAACCCCATACTTGTTCTCAGCAAACACTCTAAAGATGTATTCTATCCCGTCATGGAGTCTGATCACTCTCATGGTGGTCTTCTGGATGGCAGAAGCCACTGTAGTCCACTTGTTATCTGTTGTTCTCCTCTTCTCCACAATGTAATTAGACACCTCTGCACCACCATCATCTTTGGGTGGTCCCCACTCTAGTGTGATGGCATCGGCAGTTATCTCATCAAACGTAATGGGTCCAGTGCAGATACCGGGTTTGCCAACCACCTTCAGCTGGAACTTGCAGTCCTTTGAGCCAGCACTGTTCCTGACATTTATAGTGTAGGTGTCAGCATCTCCTCTCTGGCAGTCTCTAATCAGTAAGGTGGTGATGCCCTGAGATGCTTCAACACACATCCGGCCAGTATCACCCACTCCCATATCGCCCTTCTTCCAGGTAGCAGTGGGGTTTGGAACTCCAGTGATGGGGATGTTAATGCGTGTTGTGCTGCCCTCCTTAACCACACAGCAGCCATCGTGCAGATCACTTAAGTTGCAGTCGGGTAGCACTGAAGTTCAAAAGGATAATCATCATTAAAAAGTTCAACATTATAATTTTAGTATAACTAAGAATAGCATGAAGGCATTTTTACCAAATTGGTCCTTTGCAACAGCAGTGAGCTCAGTGGGTGGTCCCTCTCCAGACTCGTTGAGTGCCTTGACCCTGAAAGAATACTCCTTGCTTTCTGTCAGTTCTCCAATAGTGTGTGAGGTATTCTTGCCTTTCAGGATCTGCTTCCACTTCTCCTCGCCTTCACCCTGCTCCAAGATGTATGCAGTAATAAAACTCCCACCATCATTGATGGGCTTCTTCCAGGACAGGGTGATAGAGTTCTTTGTAGTCTTCTGAGCTTTGAAGTCTGTCACTGGACCAGGTTGCTCTGCACAGGAAGGACAAATGGACGAAGGTTGAACGTTTGTGTTTTTTTAGCTACATATATAGTGTCTTTCTTTGAGCTCATGAATGCAGTGGCTATACAGCATGAGTATATTTAAATTTAAGTATCAAATATCTTGTAACTACCAGAGGCCCTGATGCTGCCTGGGGTCTCACAGCCTTCTCCAATGCCGTATGCATTTTCAGCTAGAACTCTGAAGCAGTAGGCCTGTCCTGCCTCCAGGTTGGTGATCCTGAAGGAAATCTTAGGACAATCTGCTGACACACAGGTCCAGGCTTTCCTCTCAGCCAAACGTTTCTCTACGATGTAGTTCTTAACTGGACTACCACCATCAATCAGTGGGGCATCCCAGGTGATGCAGGCATGGGTTCTGGAGGTTTCCTTCACAGTCAGGTTTAAGGGTGGGCCCGGAGAATCTAAGTGGGCAAGAGAAGCAATTTCTTTGCCTTATAGCTTTCAGAAAGTTATACAAGCACGAGTACAAATGCATGTCTGAAGTGAAAACACACATTAGGCCTATGTGTGCACTCTATATTTATTTAAAAAAAAAACCATTTTCTTTCTTCATGCTGATATTTCTGATATATCTTATATAATCATATATATGTTCTACTTTTTTACACATTTTAAGGTGAAAACTAGGTTCGACTCCATTTAATACATTTAATGTTTAATTTTTAAAACCACCATTTCAAGAATTGTATTTCAGCTCGATGCAGGTTAAGAAAAACCTCTTGATAGATTTGAACTATAAATCAGTGAAAAGGTTTTTCACTTACTTGGTTTCATTTACATGTCTACATTGCATGTGACAGTACAACTCACTGGAGTGTGTGTACTCAACATTTTATATGACAGAAATTCTTACCAAGGACCTTTACTACGATGGTGTAGCTCTTAGAGCCGCTGCTGTTCTCCAGTGACAGAACATATTTGCCAGAATCACATCTGTTAACATCCTCAATCATCAGTAGGGTGTCCCAGTCTGATGTCTTGATCAGTAGTCCTTGTCTTTCCTTCAAATTAGCATCAACTTTAGTCCATGTCACCTTCGGTGCTGGGCGTCCTCTCAGTGGTACATAGAGCCTCATGGTTACTCCAGCTCGCAGAACCAAAGCTTTTCTCAGGTCAGCGTCAAGCTCAGCATCAGGAGCAACTGGAGGAAACAAAGGGTGGGTCATTAACAGTGTTGGATAAGTTACTTTGAAAAGGTAATTAATTATAGTTACTAGTTACTTCTTCAAAAAAGTAATTGAGTTAGTAACTGAGTTACAAGATTCTAAAAGTAATAATTACTTGAAAAGTAACTATTGTGTTACTTTAAAAAAATCCAGGGTATAATTGGCCATTTTAACTACTTTTGATGTTTCCTCCACATTTCACCTTTAAAAACTATTTACTTTGTTTGGTCTCATCCTTTTCAGCACAACCTCACGTGTCTGAATTTACAGTCATGTTTTCATTTTGACAAACTGTATTAACACAATTGATCTAAAATCAGACAAAAAACATAAAATCAGAGTAGAAAAAGTTATATTTTTACTGTAACAACCACAAACATGTTTAATGAATCATATTTCATAACTTTAAATGCAAATATAAATTGTCAATGTTAAAATCATATGCACATGTTTTACAAACAACAAAGTTATTTGCATCCATTTACCTTTTACCCTCTTTCTAATAACCATTTCAAACTATTTACAGAACAATCAGCTGTTCTTCAATAAGATGCCACAAATTATTTGTGCCACTGCAAAAACATAATTTCTGTCCACTATAAAGGAGAACATCACAGCCTGATACCTGCAGGTCTGACAGCAGCAGGTGTATCACTCCTGTTTAACCTGGAGACAGCAGTCGCCTCATTGTTCTGACACACAACACAAAACTACACACTAACTACACAAGACAACACATTAACTACACACTCCAAACACGCTAAACGTCATAAATCTCTCACATCTCAAAACTGGATTAGGTAAATGGTTATTTCATTTTCTTCGATTACCACTGAGCCAGTTAGTAGTCATACAATCCGATCTCCATAATGTCATATGCATTAAAGTTATTTAATGAAATTGAGTTCCTCTTTCACAGTGATAAACTGTGATATAGTAATGAGAGATAAGGTGTACTACTGTATTTGCTGACACAGTCTCTCCTTCAAAGCCAAGCTAACTTGATTGATTTTTATATTGCCTCTTGATTTAATTCTTTTTTCTTTTAGAGATTCAGCAATAGCCACACGTATTCATAACAATGATTTAGACATAAGCTGTTGATCTCCAGTGGAAACACCCCACAGAAAACCATTAAATTAAACCAGTAAACTAAACAATTTTCCTTTTGGAAATTATTTATCTAAATAGTGTTGAATCAGAGACAGCTGGGAACATACTTAGAATATCCTTAGGCATGTAGTTTCCAGGCACCTCGCTGGGCTCACTGTAGCCAATCTTGTTAACAGCCGTGACTCTGAACTGGTACTCAGTGTTGTCCATCAGGCCTGTCAGCAGGAATTTCGTGGCCTGGAGTTTCTTCGGCACATTGCATCTTGTCCAGCTCTCTCCATCAACTCGCTTGCACTCAACCAAGTATCCAATGATCTCACAGCCACCATCGTATGCTGGTTTGGTCCAGCTAAGGCTAACTGACGTCTTGGTAGAGTCCACCACCTTGGGGAAGGCAGGTGGCCCGGGAGGATCTAAATAATTATTTATGAATAATTAGTTGTCTGAAGCGTTTTACTTTCATTTAGAAAGTGTGTTTTAAAGCAGATACTCACAGACAGGGTCAACAGCCAGGGCACCATTTGAAGCGTCGCTGGGTTTCCCAAGACCAGCCTTGTTTATAGCAATTACTCTGAACTCATACTCAGAGCCCTCAGTCAGTTGAATGGCCTTGATGGTCCTATCAATGACTGGTCGGCGGTTAACCTTAGCCCAGCTCAGCTCAGTGGCCTCACGTTTCTCCACCATGTAGCCAAGGATGGGAGATTTGCCGTCATTGGCTGGGGCCTTCCAGCTGACTGTCATGGAGTTCTGTGTGATGTTGGTGATGACAGGTGGCTCACATGGACCAGGAACATCTGACAAGAGATAATGTTTAAATTCTCTGATGGGCTACACCAACTTTGATCAACATGGTGTTATAAAGGAATAAAAAACTTACACATTAGCCATGTCACACAATTCACAATTTGAAAAATTGAATTTAAGCAAAAAAAAAGTCAAGATATATATCAAATCACAGTAATTTTAATGATTTAAACATGGTCAAGCTAATATGAGACTTTATGCAGTCAGTAAAACATGCATGCTTTCATTTTTTCATTTTATTCTCCTCAAGTAGAATACAGTGAGTTTTCTTACCATACGGATTCTTGACCGTGACGGCATCAGTCATAATGGGATCTCCCACACCATACTGGTTCTCAGCACTGACTCGGAACTGATATTCGTGTCCTTCAATAAGTTTCTCCACTGAACAGTCAGTGATGTGTCCATGGATGTTTGAGGTGACCAATGCCCAGTTGGCCCTGCTAGTCTCACGCTTCTCAATGATGTAGTTAGTGATTTCAGAACCGCCATCTGCAAGTGGTGGCACCCATCGCAGCTTAACACGGTCAGCAAACACCTTAGAAATTTTCACTGAGGCTGGAGGGCCTGGTTTGTCTGTGGTAGAAAAAACACAAGGATAAGCTTTTTTCTCTCAAAACATGAAACGCTAGCTTAAGCACTACAATAAAATGAACTAACATAACTTTAGCTTACCGAGTACTTTGACCTTTATGGTGGCGTACTTGGTGCCATTGACATTTTCAGCTGTGATAGTGTAGTCCCCAGTCTCTTTCCTGGTGACAGAGTATAGCTCCAGCAGATGAAGATGTTTCTTTTGGGACATCTTCATTCCCTCAGCAAGGACCAGAGGTACTCCATCCTTCTTCCAGCTCACTTTGGGAAGTGGTTTGCCAAAGACCTCAGCATCCAGGAAGACATTTTCTCCAGCTTTCACCACAATCAGGTTCTTCATGTTAACACCTAATTCCACACGAGGAGCAACTGCATAGAAGAGGAAAAAAACCCTCATGATTATTTGTATATGACTGTATTTGTGTATCACTTTCGTTACTATGCAGAGTTGTACCATTCTCTGCGATGACAGGAATAGGGTCAGACAGCTCAGATGGAAGGCTGCTGTTAATTGCGGTCTTGGCGATGATTCTAAACTGGTATTGTTGACCCTCCTGTAGGTTAGTCACCACATAGTTCTCTGTCTGTATGTTCATGCAGTTGGCATTGCAGCGAGTCCACTTCTCTTCTGGAAGCTTTGTATATTCCACGTAGTAGCCAATCAACTTGCTGCCACCGTCATGCTTTGGACGGCCCCACACTAATGATACAGTGCTCTTGGTCACATCCATGGGCTCGGGTTTTCCTGGTGGGTCTAGATAGAAACAAAAACCCCCACAAATGAACAGTTGTAGACGATACAGTTTAAATTACAAAGAATGAACTTGAATGCAAAAGAGTGCAAATATATATAGCAATATATCCTGAAATTAAAAAGAAAATATATTAACCAGAAAAAGTAGAATTTGAATCATTCTGATATGAGTCAAAGACGATTGTGGGTGGGGAGTATTGTGTAGGTGATTTTGACATGGAATAATTAAACTACTGATTTTATCATTGAATTGCAGCATCTGTAATCATTTAATTGCTTTCTCCTCAGTTCTTGTGGGTATTAAATCAACTACAGCATGTTTATTTAAAGGAAGGGTTCCCTAGCTTTACTGTTATATACTTTACTATATTACTGTTGAGTTGACATTGATTGATTGATAATTTAAAAAAAATGTAACTGATTGATCAACTGATAGACAGAAAAATAGAATTCACCACTTTAATGTTAGGGCTAAAATGGGCTTCTGTATCTCAGATGTGTTTGGTTAGTTAACTTGTAACGGAAGTAGGTATTTTAAAAATAAATTTCCTTATCTTTTTGTTTGACATGTATTAAAGGGCCTGGGGCTGCTGAACTGAATCACTATTAAATATTTAGTACATGGAGCACGTTATCTAAAAGGGGAGATACATTTTTATTCCGTGGTTAAAAAGAATTTTTAAAAAATCAAATGTTTGCTAGCTTCAACAAACTGATTGGGAAATGTTAAAAACAACAGAGGGCATACATAAAATGATGTATATGATATTTTTTCCAGTTAATAAAAACATGAATGACATAAAAGTGCAGTTGTGTTGTGAAGAGCTCTTTGAATTTAAAGTTGTCATTTTTGTGCTATTGGTTTTAACTGAAATTTATCAACAATATGGTGAAATGGTGAGAAAAATTATGATGTTTTTCTAGTTATAAGAAGTGTTCATACCGACAGCAGTCCTGGCAGTGATGAAGTCTGTCTGTTTACAAGGTTTGCCCTGTCCGGCCTGGTTTTGTGCTGACACCCTGAAGGTGTACTCCAGGCCATCGATCAGGCCTGTGCAGGTGTACTGAGTGGCTTTGACCAGAGTCTCATTAGCCTTCACCCACAGAAGGCTATTCCTCTCCTTCTTTTCAATGCAATATCCACTGATGGGGCTCCCACCATCAGAGCTGGGACGCTCCCATGATAGGATGACGAAATCCTTGTTGATCTTGTTTATCTGCAGGTTTCTGGGTTCACTCGGAGGATCTTTGGGGAAAAAAGCCATTAACACATAATGTTATTCTTGTAATGTTGGGAAGCTATGATACATATTAGAATACAAATGCTCACCAAATGGATATCTGGCAATCATCTTCTCAGAGTAGGTAGGCCCAGAGACGCCAAACCTGTTTTCAGCACGAACACGGAAGCTGTACTCTTTGCCAGGTGTCAGTTTGGTCATTCTGAAGCTCGTCTTTGTGCAAGATGTAGAAACGGTGATCCAATCACCCTGGCTAACATCACACTTCTCTACAATGTAGTTGGTGATGTTGCTACCACCATCCTCCTGTGGCGAGTTCCAGAGCAGTGTGCACGCATCCATGTCCAGTTCAGTGATCTCCAAAGGAGCTTCAGGGGGTCCAGGGATGTCTGAGACACAGACAGCACACATGTTGATAATGGAAGGCAGGGCAAAGCACTGCTGATGTGTTTACAAGAACCAGCGGTGTAAAAAGTCTCTGTTCTAACTTACCCATGACGATGACTTTGAGGATCTGATTAATCTTGGCAGTACTGTTCTCAGCTGACAGGCTGTAGTAACCACTATCCTTTCTTGTTACATTCTTTATAATAAGTGAGGTAGTTGTCAGCGTCTTTACAATGGACAGGCGATCAGAGGTTAGCACATCCTCATTGCCCTGCTTCCACTTGCAGACAGGAGCAGGTTTACCTGCCACAATAGCCTCAATCGTCATCTTGGATCCAGCTCTGACTGTCACAATGTCAGGCATGATTATCTTCGGAGCCACTGAGAGGAAGACAAAATATCAATAGTTACTTCTGTATTTCATGATGATTTAAACTTTTTGATTGACCTACATGAATGACAGTGTCTCAGTTACTATTATCCATACTAGTATGAGGAAATGTTTAAACTTGTCTACTCACTGAGCTGCTCCTTAACTTCAAACATTCCCTCAGCCTCTCGAGCCAAACTGACTCCCACTGAGTTCCTAGCAGCCACTCTGAACTTATACTTCTTTCCTTCTTTCAGACCAACTACCACGATAGTCAGGTCTTTGACCACAGAATATGGTGTCCATTTGTCCTCAGGTGCACCCTCCTCCTGGTAATCCACCACATAACCATTGATTTTGGCACCTCCATCCCTGAGTGGTTTTAGCCAGCCCAGTGTAGCACTATTCTTGGTGATCTCTAACACGTCCATCTTCTTTGGAGGGTCTGGCTCACCTGAATCCAAAACAAAGCAGGGATTAGAAACAATTAACAAAACAGACTAAATTCAGAGTCAGAAGAACACGGAACTTACTGATTGGGTCAACAGCCAAGTAGGACCTGGGTGAGTCCTGAGGAACTCCAATGCCATACTTGTTGCAGGCCATGACTCTGAAGTAATACTCAATGCCAAGTGTAAGGTTGGTGACCTTGAAGCTAGTCTTCTTCAGGTCCTCTATGCACTTGGTCCAGGTCTTCCTATCAACCTCTCGTTTCTCCACAACGTAATTGAGGATGGGGCTGCCTCCGTCATTCTCTGGTGGCAACCAGGAGAGTTGAGCTGTTGTTTTGGTGATGTCAGTGGCATCCAGGCTGCCAACCGGACCAGGTGTGTCTGTGGACAAAATTTTTTAAATCAAAGACATGACAGCCTCCTCATTAGTGACCAGTCTTTTTAAACGGGTTTAAAAGTTATTAAACGAAAATACACCATTTGACATTCATTTTATGTTTCTCACCAAGGACTTTGACACGGACAAATATTGCTTTCTCTCCAGCTGAGTTGGACAGAGTGAGTGAATATTTTCCAGAATCCTCTCTGGTGCTCTCAGGGATAACAAGGAAGGACATGGTGTCAACCTGGTCCACGTGACCTCGGCGGATTACATTGTCCACACCCAACCGCTTCCACGTAACCTTGGGGGCAGGCCTTCCTCTGATCACGGCGAAAAGCCTTATAGGACAACCAGCCCTCACAGAAAGGCCTTTCCTCAGACTGGCATCCAGCTCAATTTCTGGAGCCTCTGTTTTACATGAAAAACAAATGAATGTTTAGTGTCATCAGCTTTGGAAAATTTACAAGACTACTGTACTATAAAACATTTATTGAGGCACAGAATCTGATGACTTCTTACCCAGGATCTCCTTGGGAGACACTGCCTCCTTCAAATAAGCATGGCGTCCCCAGCCCACCTGGTTTTGGGCTGACACCTTGAACTCATACTCCTGCTTTTCATCAAGCTGGCCAATAGTAAATTCTGTGAGCACCAGTGGTCCATGAGTATCAATTCTCTTCCAGCCCACTGTGGGATTCTCAGGGTCCGCCTCACTTTTCAGCCTCATGTCCAAGCTATAGCCAATAATGGGGGCGCCACCGTCATAGACAGGTTTAGACCAGGACAGAGTGATAGAGGTTTTTGTGCTGTCGGCCACCTTCAGGGCTGCAGGGGGACCAGGTGGCTCTGTAGGTGGAGACAGTGAAACAAAACTTATTATGAATGCAGAAATAAAAGACGAAGCTTGTCAAATCTTAAACCCCATTGTCTGGCATTTTACATGTTCTTCAGCTCTACCACAAAAAAACAAAACAAAACAAACCCCCCCACTTGAACTTCTTAATAGTAAAGTTGTGACAGCAAACTCACCAATAGGATCTTTGGCTGCAACTGGTCTGCAGGGTTTACTGGGATCTCCCAGACCGACATCATTCTCAGCTCTCACTCTGAACTGGTACTCATGGTTTGGAATCAGGTTGGTGACTTTCATGCGCCTCTCAGAGATTGGGCTCTTAGTGCAGGGCACCCAGCGCACTGCCCTCTTCTCCTTCCTTTCAAGGATGTAGCCAGTGATTGACTTTCCTCCATCATTCTCAGGAGGAGCCCAGACCACAGTCATCTCATCTTTGCTCACCTTTAATCACAACCAATTATTATAGCTTGTTAATTACTATGTTATAAAAGCTTGAAGATGTTGAAATGTTTTCCACGAGACACAATTTGAAATAAAACCAAGTAGAGAGTATACAAAAATTTACCTTGGTGACTTCAGGGGCATCAGGGGGTCCAGGTTTGTTGAACTGAGTCTTGACAGTTATAGGCTTACTGTCCATGGCAGGGCCAGTTCCCATCTTGTTTTCTGCCCGCACTCTGAATATGTATTCATTGCCCTCCACCAAACGAGTGACGTTGCAGTATGGTGTGACCACAGAGGCTGAATATGTGGACCAAACCATCCTCCTGGTTTCACATTTCTCTAGAATGTAGCTGTCCACCTCACAACCTCCATCATCCTCTGGAGCATCCCAAACCACTCTGCACTTGTCAGCTCCAATGCCAGTAATCCTCAGGTCTCTCACTGGGCCGGGAACGTCCAGGACATTAACATTGGCATATGCTGTGAAAGTCCCACCCGAGTTGGTGGCAGTGATAATGTATTTTCCTGTGTCACTACGCTTGGACTTAGTCATCAGAAATTTTGAGTAGTCTGGGCCAGTTTCATAGCTTATTCTGGGATTGTCTCCAGTAGCCTTATCTTTCATCCATTTAACCTCAGGCTGGGGCTTTCCTCTCAGAGCAGCCTCCATCCTGACTGACTCTCCAGCTTTTACTGTCAGTGTTCCAGCCAACTTCAGGTCAATGACAGGCTTCTGGATCTCCTCCCTCACCAGAATATCTGCAAGTTTTACCCAGGCACTCTCACCTCCTTCACTGACAGTCTGCACTCTGGATAACAAATTGTAAAAATAAAGGTAAATAAAGGTAGATAGCTGGATAACCCTTACAGAACACAATTTCTGATCAGATAAACACCCAACAAAACAATCAGTAATTACAAATTAGAAATGAAGTAACCTACCTGAAGGTGTACGTCTGATTTTCCACACATTTATCAGCCAAAAAGAAGGTGTCTGTGAGAGTAGTGGTGTTGAGTTTTTCCCACTCCTCCGCATCTTTAGTTTTACACTCCAGGTTGTAGGAGAGATGGGGGCTTCCACCATCATAGTCAGGCTTCCGCCACCTCAAATTGACATAGTTCTTACCAATGTCAATTGCTCTGAAGTTCTCAGGCTCGCCGGGCTTGTCAATAGGGTCAATGGCCAATGTAGGAGTTTTGATCTCCACGGAGGGTCCTGGTCCTATTTTGTTCTCAGCACAGACACGGAACAGGTACTCATGGCCTTCCATCAGCTTTGCCTTGATCTTACGATTAGTGCAGTGGGAAGAGATCATAGACCACATGCTAATACTAGGCTCTCTGCACTCCACAATGTAGTTGGTGATCTCGGATCCACCATTGTCCTTAGGGCTCTCCCAGTTGATCATGCATGAGCCCTTAGTGACATAGGTCACATTCAGATTCTGGCAGTGGCTGGGTCGGTCTAGAACATTAACTGTGATTGTGCGGGAAGCCTCACCACCTTCATTTGAAGCTTTCAGAATATATTTGCCATGGTCATTCCTTGTAGCTTCCTTGATCTTTAGGTGGACTAAAGGAAGATTCTGCAGGATGGTAACACGTTTGCTGTTCTCTAGAATAGTCTCTTCTTTTGACCAAAAAACTTCAGGATCAGGGCGAGCCTTGATGTAACCAATGATGTTGATGTTGTGTCCAACACGCACAGTAACACAATCTCGACAAGTGGCCTCCATCTCAATCTCTGGAGGTATAAGAATATCCTGAGCAGTGACTGATTCTGGGATTTCTCTTGGCTCCCCGTCTCCAATCATGTTTGAAGCAAAGACTCTGAATCTATAGGTCACACCCTCTTCCAGACCCTTCACCCTGTAGGCACACTGCTTGATCAAGTCATCCAGGTTGACTTTTTTCCATTCTTCAGCGCTAGCTTTCTTCATCTCCACAGTGTAACCAAGGATTGGGCTGCCTCCATCTTTGGTAGGTTTGGTCCACACCAGGTCAGCAGTGGCCCTGCTGTAATCTTTAACTTTAGGATTGACAGGGGGACTCGGGACAGTGATGGGCCTGCAGGGCTTGCAGGGGTCGGAGACGGGGGAGGGGCCACTAAATCCAGCAATATTTTCAGCAAACACTCTGAACTCATACTCGCTGCCCTCGAAGAGGCCCAGGACTCGGTACCTCAGGTCCTTGCAAGGTGTCTTGTTGACACGGATCCACTTTCCTCCCTTGTGTCTGCGCTCAATGATGTAGCCAGTAATCTGACTGCCACCATCAGTTAGGGGCATAGTCCAGCCAAGTGTAACAGCATCCTCTGAGGTATCATAGGATTGTGGCTTACCAGGTGCACTAGGGGGCATGAATGAGTGCTCAGCAACAGTGGGCTTGCTCTCCAGAGGAGCACCAATGCCCATCTTGTTCTCAGCACGAATGCGGACTACATATTCTACTCCTTTCTGAAGGCGAGCGATCCGGAGCTGAGTTGCAAGACTACCAGAACTCACACCTCCCCATGTCTCTTTGTTGGACTCTCTTTTCTCCACAATGTAATTGGTTATAGGGCTCCCACCATCATCTTTAGGAGGACGCCATTCAATTGTCATGGAATCTGGCATGACCTCCAATATGTTGACAGGTCCAATCGGAGCAGCTGGAACATCGAGTACAGTGACATTTAAGGCCACCGTCTTGGTTCCTGCTGGGTTGGACACAGTGAGCAGGTAGGTTCCAGTGTGGTTTCTGGTGCACTCATTAATGCTGAGAATAGTGGAGAAATTATCAGTGTCAATCTTAATGTTGCCCTGGCTGGTGATCTCCTCTCCTTCGATGGACCACTTGGCAGTTGGGACAGGGATTCCTCTCATTATAGCTGGCAGTCTGATGGTAGTCCCGGCCTTCACAATGATGCCTTCAGTGAGTTTAACATCAACTTCAACAATTGGGGGCACTGTGCAAAAAGAGGTCACCTCACATTACTAGACTCATATGAAACAAATATGAAACAAAGTTAAATTATTCAAACTTTACCAGTTTACCAGCCTTATCAACAGTTTCTTTTTTTCATTAAGATCATCTGCCTCCTCTAATTCTAAGTACTCACTCGAGACACTATCACGGAACACACATCTGCACCACAATTCCTACACTATTAAGTAAATATCTAATTTCAGGTGAAAACAAACAACTGGAACACTAATTTCATGCTATTAGTTATATGTGAAATCCAATAGGGGTCATGCAAATACTGTCTTCTGCCCTACCTAGTTTCTCCTGGCAGAGGATAGGCACTGTGGTATCAGGTCTGCTGAGGCCAATGGCATTCTCAGCCCTCACTCTGAAGCGGTAGGTTTTTCCTTCCTCCAGACCAGTCACATGACTCTCAGGGATGCTGACAGTTTTCCATTCATACCACTCTTTCTCTCCCTCTTCCTGGTACTCAACCAGAAAGCCTATGATTTCACTTCCTCCATTGCGATCAGGCCAGTTCCATGCTAACCATACCTCAGTCTTGTCCACATCAACATGATGCAGGTCTTTGGGAGGACCAGGAGGGACTGGAGGGATGAAAGCAAAATGAGAGCGATTCAGGCTTCAACTACTCACTCTTTGTGCAACACAGTTTTCTTTGGTGCTTAAGGAAATTTATTTTCAGTATCCCAGAAAGTTGATTCTGTTCATAATCTGGGAATAGCATCGCCAGAAAACCCTACGCCAGGTAAGATTTTGGATGATTAAACAAGCATCTGTGGAATTTTCCAACACCAAAATAATATAGATGAATTTGAAGGATAAATAGTCACTGTGTTGTTACTCACAGAGTGGGTTCATTGCCTTGATGGCCTTTGGTGTCTCGACATATTCGCTCCGGCCGAACTGGTTTTCAGCGGCAACTCTAAACGAGTAGGACGTGCCCTCCATCAGGTGCTTCAACATCATACTGCGTTTCTTTGATGTAGAGCAGACAGGGACCCACTGAGTGGAAGCTGTGTCTTTCTTCTCTACCACAAAGTTAGTGATGCGAGTACCACCATTATCCTCTGGATCTTTCCAGGACAGGTAGGCAGAGTCACTCCTGACATCAGACACACGGAGGTGCTGTACAGGACCAGGTTTGTCTGAAGAAACATACAAAGAACATCACTAAAGTCTGATCCTTCATTAGGGGAAGACACAAAAATGAAACTGACTTTGTATCACAGGGGTGATGGCTCACAAAAATAAAATGTGCTTAATCACAGTCACTTTTTCAAAATTAAAAACCACACAGATGATTCAGCTCCAGATGTGTCCCTTCAAACCACCACTGAATTTTAGTTAATAATCCAATTCTACAAATAATTCCGTACTTACCAAGAACTAGCACAGTGCAGGTGACAGTCTTGGTTCCTGCTGGATTCTCCACAGTTAGGGTGTAATCTCCACAGTCACCACGATGGCAGAACCTCATCTCCAGCTTGGTGCCTGTCTGGTTGGTTTCGATATCTGCCCGAGGGGGAACTTCTGCGTCATTCTTCTTCCAGGTGACAGTGGGAAACGGGACACCTTTGATGCCGGCTATCAGAGCAATATGAGTGCCAGCCATGGCTTTAATTTCTCGGGTCATTCCGGCATCCAGAATCAACTCTGGAGGCTCTGAAAGATGTAGAAGAAGGAAGTGAGAGAATTAATGACTACAAACACTATAGTACTTCAACACACATATGTAGCATTATGTAGCATTCTATGATACTGAAATAACAACTCACCAAGTCTGTCCTGTACTCTAATCGGCTCAGTAAGGTTGGCTGGGTTGGACTCCCCAGCAGCGTTCACAGCCATGACTCTGAAGCGGTACAAAACACCATCTTCCAAGTTGATAACCTTAAACTTGGTTTCTTTGCAGGAGTCTGGAGTCTGGTTCACCTGTTGTCCAAATTGACAAAATTCAGTGAAATAAAAAAGAAAGAAAGAAAGAAAGAAAGAAAGAAAGAAAGAAAGAAAGAAAGAAAGAACGAACATTAGAATTGAAATGAAGAAATTAAAAGGTTAAATGTAGTTGTAGGGGTGGTCTACATGTTATATCTCTCGCCTCAATGGCTCAAGGTAACTTCCTCACCTTGAGCCATTCCTCCTTTCCAGCTGCCTGGAACTCCAGCAAGTATCCAAAGATTTTTCCTCTGCCAGTGTCGGTGGGTGGCTCCCATGACAGGGTAACTGACTCTTTGGTAAAGTCGATAGCCTTTAGATTCACTGGCGGACTAGGTTTCACTAGGGAAAAGAAGAAGGAATATTCTTGTGCTGCATTTACATCCACTAATAATAACATGGAGTGTAATTGTAAGAGAACAACTCACCAATGGGATCTTTGGCAAAGACCGGTTTAGATGGTGGGCTTGGGTCTCCAGCTCCCACTTCATTCTCAGCACTGACCCTGAACTCATACTCGCAGCCTTTCAGGAGGTCGGTCACCCAATACTCCACCTTAGGATGGATTCTTTCTGTGTTGCAGCGAACCCACCTGAGAAGAGAAACATAAAGGCTGATGTCTTGATGCATGTCAGCTAAGTAAATTCCAGAAAGTTGATTTTGTTCATCTTGACGATGCGTTTTCAGTTGGAGAAATATTTCCTTGCTCATCAACGTGACTTCTTGGATGAGTTTCTCCCACTGAAAACGCTGAAATCGAATGGAATGAAATGAAAATTCAGATGAAGTCTAACAATTTGTTTGTAAGAATGCATTTATATAAATATAAATAACATAATTTTTTTTAACTTGAGGAATGAGGAAGCCAGAGTACTCAGAAAAAAACAACAACACATGGTTTGCATGAGAACATGCAAACTCCACATAGGCAGGCAAATAAACTCAAACCTGGGTCCTTCTTGCTCTGGGGTGACAGAGCTAACTACCACACTGCTGTGATGCAACAGGTTTAATCTCAGTTTTCTAAAAAAGTTTGATTTATTAGGCATTGGGCTGACTGTGGCATCAGAGTTTGTGAGGCCACACACACACACTGGAAGAAAGAGTTTGACATAGCTCCCACAGACTGGTGCCCACCACACAAGACCAGTGGTAAAACATTACACACTCACAGAGCAGTAGTTACATTATCAGCAACTAAAACAAATAACTTTAACAACTAGCTGAAATGTGCTGTTAATAATTCATAAGCGTGTTACAAGTCTGGATTGTGTACTTTGACATGCCAGTCATGGCTGTGTAAGTACACGAAAAAGCAATTAGAAGAAAAGCCTACAAACATTGCCTGGGCCCTAAATTATTAGTGTTATATGTATTTATGAACCTGTTGGCCATGGTCTCCTTCCTCTCCACAATGTAGCCTGTGATTGGTTTCCCTCCATCAGCAGGCGGCTCCCAGCTGATTAGGGCAGAGTCATGGTAAACTTCCTTCACCAGAGGCTGCTTGGGAGCATCTGGTGTCTCTGTAATAGACACAATGAAATGCAATTACATGCTGTTTTTACTTTATAAACACAAAAGCGGATTGCTTGCTGGCTTTGTGCGTCGTTCTCTGTGAATATCACTTACTGAAAATGTCTCTAGCTTTAGTCTCTGTAGACAGAAGAGGGTCACTGATGCCATAGATGTTTTGAGCCATTATACGAATGATGTACTCCCGGCCCTCGATTAGCTTTGGCACCTGAAAGGATATTAGTAATCAAAGCCTTTGTACTATTGTCTTGATAACAAAAGAAGAAAAAAACCGAATGGTAAAAATTCAGGCATTTCAAACAAACTTTTTTATCAAAGATTTTCACAGGATCTTCTTACATATAAGGTGCATACTAAAAGTCTGGCCCAGATTTGCACTTCTCGTCACTGTTTCCAACATTTTCTGTGCTTAAAATATCTCTACTCACTCTGCAGGTGGTTCTGGTACAGGATGAGGTGACAGGCATCCATAGGTCTCTGTTGGTATCTCTCTTCTCAATGATGTAGTTGGAGACAGCACAGCCTCCGTCATCCAGAGGCGGCTTCCAGGTGATTACCATGTAATTCCTGTAGACTTCGTTGAACTCTACGGGTCCCTCTGGTGGCTGAGGACGGTCTGACAGGAAAAGAATTTACAGCGATCAGCAACATGAAAATCTTCATTTATTTTCATGCCTCGGCTTATAAAAGGTTATAATACTGGGATACTCAAATGTAACATTTATTACACGTTTAAACAGTTACTTGTTCAACATGCTAAGTAAAGGAAAATATCTAAAGTCTAAAGCATTAGTATTTCTGCAGTATAGAAACATTCTGTTTCAGAGTAATTCTAAAAAACAAGTTCAAGCCTTTTTTACTTCTAGGCTCAGTTACTGTAGTTATCAGGTTGTTCTAAGTTCCCCCAAAAGCCTTCGCTTGATCCAAAATAATGCAGCAAAAGAAAGGAGAAAAGAAAACTAGAAAAAGAGGCTATAATGTTCTCATATTAGCTTCTCATCAGTGGCTCCCTGTTAACCCCAGAATCAAATAAAAAACTTTCCTCCTTATATACAAGTTCTCGAAAAAACCAGGCCTCTTCTTATCTTGAATATGTTGCACATTGCCCAAACAGTACGTCACCCTCAGATTGCTTATTTTTGTTTCCTATAGTATTTAAAAAGAGAGAGCCTTTCAGGCCCCTCATATGTGGATCTGTCACTCATTTTTCCTGATAATATACCATAAATCTCTCTTATGGTCCATATTGCAGCTCCAGTATACTTACTACTCTAATTTTCTGTCTGATTTTGATGTGTTGTGTATCCAAGTAGTCTAAAAAATCTTGACTTTTTCCAGACTACACGTGGCCATTCGGTCTTAAATGCTCAGACAGACAGAGGCACTGTTTTAAGTGCCTTTTCTGAATTTTAGTTTTTAAACCTCTGATTTGATTTTGAGTCATGTACAAGCAGCTGACCACTCATCTCGATACATCCATTAACATATCCTTCATTTCTGGTGTTAGGTGTTGGTTCGGATCAATGCTACTTTTGTGTTGTGTCAGTTCCACAGCTGGTCAGGTCATTAGCTCTTTGCTGTGACTCACCGACCACAGTGATGGTGCAGATTCCCGAGCGAGTGCCAGCAGCATTCTCCACGCTGACACAATAGCGGCCGCTGTGTTCTCTCTTGGCCTTGCTGATGTTGAGGCTGAGGTGATGGGTGGTGCTGTGGAGGCTGATTTCCTCATCTGCCTTCAGGTCCTCATCATTCTTTGCCCAGGTGATAGCAGGGGCCGGTTTGCCACTGTAGCGTCCCGACAGCATGCAGGTGTCTCCCACCTTTACCATGAGCTTTTCCCTGAAGTCCAGGTCCAGAGTCGGTGGCTCTGCAGGGGTAACAGTTAAGCTAGTTATTATATCAGCTGAAAATCTTCCCCTAGATCATTTTCTCTGATTTAAAAGACCATTTCCACACCTACAACAGTTATAATGGCACATTTTGTCACATTTTCTTACTTCATATCAAATTATTTAATCCTGTTTATTGTATTTCCACAACAACCACGAAGATCAAGTTCCAGTCCATGTGTGTTGAAAATCATACAACAGATGCATTGAAGCCTTTAAAAATAACTTAAAATAAAAATATATTTACAGTTATTCTGTATGAACAAACATAGGCAACAGGAATGTTCACACATACTGTAGCTTAAAACCCACAATCTGCACACATGAAGGTGGGGTTCAAAAATGAGTGAATGTCATCAGTTCAGTATCTAACCATATTTGCACTTCCCTTCTTTTGCACAAATACGACCTAGAAGAACCTGACCTAAAAATGTATTTTTACACATGACCTTTTGAATATAAAATGTCCTAATTTTGACTTTTCACATTATTTGGAGAAGCAGGGTTAACACAAGACTTCCACACACACTACGGTGAGACTGCCATTTAGATATTTGTATTCAATTTTCTCATAATTAGCAAATAACATATTGGCCAAAAGTATGTTTAGTGAGATTAAGGTAACCGTGATCTTTGACAATCAGAATCTAATCAGTTTATCCCTGAGACCAGGAAAACTCAAGTTATCTCCATTATCAGAATATAACAGCTGAATAAAAACATACAAGCTCTGGCCTTTGCTGACAACTGAAGCATTAAAACATCTTTTTTTTTTTTTTTTTTTTTTTTTCTCTTCACTTCCGGCGCCCCCCCGTGTGCGGCAGCCTGTTACAGCAGCTCTGCTCATTCTGAGTTTCTTTCTTTCTTATCTTTTTTCTCGTAATTTTTTTTTATAACTAACGTATTAGTAATTAGACTCTGCAACCATGTTCTACCGTTTTGTGCTAGTCCTGGTCGTTTTTCTCAGTTTATTTCTACTTTTTTCACCCGTGTCTGGGGA